AAAGCAGCGATGGGCTGCTGCCAGAGTCCTTTCATGTACCGATGCCGATGTGTGCTTGTTTGAATGGCAACATTACGTTCTACATCCACTTATTTGTTTATACACAATGCACCGGCTTCTTGTGTGATGCGCACTTCGGCTATTGGAACGTAACCAGGGGGTAACAAGGGGAGGGAGGGCTGGAAAGTGTAGCGTTTTCCCTAAGTATGGTAGCAGATCATGCTAGTTTTAAAAAAAAAAATGTTTTATTACCTGAAAGCTGGACACCGCTGGCTCTTTTATGGCAAACACACACCTGTCTGTCTTTCACGCCTGCTACTCAGTAAGGAGCCAAACGGACGATACGTTTTTGGGTCATCACGCTTACCACAGCGTAACCAGGGAGAGGAAAGTTTTCGCCCAGTGCGCAAGTGGTAACCAGCAGGAAGGGGTTACAATTATCGAAAGTGTGTAACGTAATCAATAGACTCTGTTATCATTCAATCATATCCTTCATTCACATGATGAGCCCGTTACGTTGCAGGTTTTCATTGGCTACTATGTAGGATTTTGTTATCCTAAAAGGAAAATGTTTTTCTTTCGACCTTGGCCAGACTAAGAATCTCAAGAGTCTGCGTGAATTGACTAAGGATTTATGCCTCATATAACAACATGCAAACGTCATGGATAACACACAGATGCACTTTTCGGTTCCATATGAATTCCAAAGCTTTCTGCACATAAATACTTGCGTTTAAATTAATCTCTTATGTCTTGTAGCCGGATAATATATCATATGGGGGAGGGGGCGGGGCGGGGGGGGGGGAGCGTCCCCATCCTTAAAGGGATTGTCTCACATTTGAAGATATTGAGGCAAGCATCAGATATGATCAAACAAGCTCACTTTAAGCCATCGGTATACTTTTTCGAGTGAAAAACTGCTCTAGACAGCACAATTCTCATGAGAAAATATGCTCTTCAATGTATCATGATTGGATTATGTTATGGTAACTTGCACAACATTGATTGAGAGCGAATTGACAGCCGTTATCGTAGAAATCGTGCTCACGAACGCCGGATATGAACGCCTAAACAATTATACGTTTCTTGGCCTTGGTCGCCGCATAATTTAAGGAATAGCAGGATTTGAATGACGTTATTATGACGTCATGAATGCCAAGGTCACTGAAATGTTCTCCCCAATATACCTTTTCACATTTTCGCGGGCGTGTAGCCAGAAACTAGAGAGGCTCAAGTCTTTAGAAGGCCAGGATTGTGAACAGCACTGAAGGGTCTTCAATGTGGCTATTTCAGTTCAAAACCCTATGCATATAAATGTGGAGCATTCCCTTGAACTTTTCCACAAGTTAACATCACGTCTTCGAAGACACATGAAAAACTCTTCAAAAACTGGACGTGCCTCCTGTTTTTCGGCCGTCGCGTGGTCTGCTACGGTTACTCTGGTGTGCCCACATCACGATCAATGGGAACAAACAAATAATTCTCATAGATCAGACATCTACAGGCATCCTCTACCGCCATCTCGTAGGATAGCTAAAACTGTCGACGAACGTGCCAAGCCGTGCGAAATGTCAATGCAGTTCGGATGTCTCGGTTCAGTCATGGCGCATGCCGTTTGAAAAGATAGTTTTTCGTCTCAAAAATACTGTCAGTCTTCTAGAATCCCCGGAAGGCAAATCTTACCTCAATGATGAACGATGACATGGTAGCACTGTATGGATACGAGGACCGTGAGCAATCAGATTTGTGCGGAAGGTTCGCCAGCAACGCGTTGTTAAGGAGAGCGGTCGCTGCCCGCGTCCTTTCTTTTTAAGAGTGGTCAGAGTGTGCATAATCCCACGTTTTATCAATCCCTTGGCTCATTACTCGGTCTCAGAGGGGACTGCAGCCGATAGTTCAAAGGAGGCTCGCTTTTTTGCCAAACGATGAAAACATCGAAGTCAAGTTCGCCCATGCTAGGCGCAGAGTGAGACGCGCCGCCAACCTGCAGCGCATTTGTTTTCTTTTGCTTTCTCGCTGCTGGCACGATCCCTGTCGCAGCGGCCGCTCGATCCGCCCGTGTCCCGTTCGCGACCCCTGCTCCGCGGCAGCCGCAGTTGGTCGCCCTCAATGACGTCACATGAGAATCCTGGTCGGCCCGAGCGGCCATTGGCAGCGTCACGCCACCTGATCGTGCCACGCCAGCTCAAAGGTCACCGGTAAAGGCGGTTCCTGAACAGGCGCCGCACGACCGAAGGTCAATGTCACGATGGGTAGCACGCGTTCATCATATTTTCTTCTGTCACTGCTCATGTGCCTGGGGTTTCATCTGGTACAACCCAGCCGCTGGTGTGTACGGCCAGACCAGACATTTTGACACTGCTCCCGTCAACGCGTATATTTATCACAGACGTATCTCACAACTGCGTTAATCGTTTAGTTGCAGAACATAGTTTTACATCACCTAAGATATCTCAGCTATGTAACGTAGAACGACCCCATCGGAAGGATTTCATCACAGGCTTCCTAATTTCGCACGTGGGAAGCATGACGCAGTGCGACAGTTCGGCACAGACGAAGCAGACATCTTCCCAATGCGACATGAGAACCTCATTGCCGACTCGGGCATCCTAGCGCGGCGTGACTGCGCGCACGCTCGCGCTTTCGTTTTACGTTAACATGCTGACGGCTGGCTTACGAGGTAAGTGACCGAATCAAACTGCCTGAAAAGACTCATTTGTCGAAGAAGACCTGATCAAACAGCCTTCGTTACTTGTTCCTAATGATAAAACAATGTCATCGCCAACATGTTACACGAGCTCTTATCGAATGCTCTTTTTGACCGAAGCATCTTGCACGCATTCGAAATGATGCTCTACGCTCGGAAGTGCGTTATTTTCCGCCCCACACGGCCAAACGGAGAACGTTTCTGGCCAGTAGCGGCAGCCTCATTTTTGCACCGTTTTCAGATGCCACCAACGCGCCACCACTTCTCCGTTTCGCAGCTTTACAGAAATGATGCGAGACCGACAGCGATCCGACATATGAACTTCTCACATACGCCGAGGCGCGCCACGACATCCTCGCTGGGGCACACCTCACCCGTGGAATGTCATCATATGTATCAGTTCTCATCCTGACCCGCGCAGGGCCGCAGGGCCGGTCACGAGGGCCGCGCGGCGCGACCGCTAGTCGGTGATGTTGGGGTTGGTGTAGTCGAAGCCGGTGAAGCGCTCCTGCTGAATCTCCCGCAGCACGTCATCCTTGATGGCCGTCAGCCGGGCCGGCAGCGTCGTGTAGTGGTCCTCGAAGTAGCGGCAGTCGGCCATGGTCGCCTGTGCGGACGCGGGAGCTGCCGTCAGCGGGGCGACGGGGCACCTGGGCGACACCCGGCTGTGCATCACCTGGTCAACTCAGTACGACCTGACCTAGCTTAGCCGGCTGGCGGTGCTGATCGCCAAAGGAGCTAGTGCTATGCGAAGCCCATCATGCGAGGCTCCCGTTGAGTTCGAGTGTTATGATGGACATATTGCTATCAAAATACGGCACCATAAGCTCTAGGGTGATTCATGGCAGGATTAGTCGCAAGATTTACTGAACAAACAACTCGTTCACAGGTGGATAAAGCGAACATGCATATTGTTGAAAGACATTATTTTTGGTGATGACGAGCGGATTCTGATGGCAGAATTTCACAAAAGAAGTCAACTCAAGTGGAAAATAGACGAAGAATTTCACTAAATTACCCCTGGATCTAAACCGGACAGATGCAGTCTAGTTATTGGGGCAAACAGTTAAGTTTCCACCTAAGTCTTAACGTTCTATCTCTTCAACCTGACACGAGACACATGTTCAACCGATAGTCGTATCTGCATTTGTCAACCAGGTGGCGATGCCATGCACACTTGCATGCTGGCACAGGCTCTTTCCGCGTTTCCACACAGAGATCGCAGAACTCCAGTGTTTGCGGACTGGCGGCCTCCATCGACTCACCAGGACAGGCTTGAAGGGCGGATCGAGCTGCTTCCGCTCCACGGCTATCCAATCGACGCGCCTGAAGAACAGCTGACTGCAGACGCCGCCGGCCGGACACTCGGCGGAGCCAAGCCGCAGCGTCGGGTCCTTCACCAGCAGCTGCCGGCCAGGGGCGTAACCCGCTGAACAAAGCCAAACACCCGGCCATCCACGCTCACCGAGCCACTAGCTACACACCACGCGCCAAAAAAATTAGCTCGGCGGCAATTATCGGCAGGTTCCAGAAATGCCAAGTTTTCGCAGCTAGCGATGGTGATGGAAATTTCATACTTCCACCACGTGCAAATATTTGGATGTGTGTGCCAATTCTCGCAGAACCGAAGCTCTTGGAAGATAACTTCAAACAACCCACCTCCGAGAAAAGTCAAATTCCAGCTGGCTTGGCTACCGGGACTGATCACGTCCTCACGGCATGACTCGTCTCGCTCTACACATCAACATCCGTGACGTGTCGTCACTGACGGACGCCACTACGCGCGCGGCCGGGACGCGCGTCTGGCGGCACGCGGACGGCGTGCAAAAGCGCCGTCGTCTGGAGCCCCGACTGGCCACCAGCCAGCCGGGCGGCCTGTCATTCAGGCGCCGCTGTAACATTTCACCGGAGGACAAACAGCCGGCGAGTGCGCACGCCAGCCGGCCTGGCAGGTCGCCCTCGGCGCGTCGCGCCGGAGGTCGCGCCTGCTGGCCCGGCCCCGCTTACAGCTGCCGCTGCCAGCGCCGATTGCCGACGCCGGTCCCGCCTGCATGTGTCCGCACTGCAGCCGCCTACGCGCGTACTGTAGCCGCCTTCGCGCGTACTGCAGCCGCTTTCGCGCGTACTGTAGCCGCCTACGCGCGTACTGCAGCCGCCTACGCGCGTACTGCAGCCGCCTTCGCGCGTACTGTAGCCGCCTTCGCGCGTACTGCAACGGCTCACGCGCGTACTGCAACGGCTTACGCGCGTACTGCAGCCGCCTTCGCGCGTACTGCAGCCGCCTACACGCGCACTACAGCCGCCTACGCGCGTACTGCAGCGGCTTACGCGCGTACTGCAGCCGCCTACGCGCGTACTGCAGCCGCCTTCGCGCGTACTGTAGCCGCCTACGCGCGTACTGCAACGGCTTACGCGCGTACTGCAGCCGCCTTCGCGCGTACTGCAGCGGCTTACGCGCGTACTGCAGCCGCCCACGCGCGTACTGCAGCCGCTTACGCGCGTACTGCAGCGGCCTACACACCGAGAGGTGCAGTGACTTATGCGCCTGGCGACTTGACGCCTAGCGACGCAATTCAAGTAACATTACTATTTACGTAATACCGGCACCATGCCTTCCCAACCACGTCACATGGGTCTGATGTATTTGTACAGGGATTACGCTTAGTTTTATGATCTAAACAATGGTTCAGTTCCAACGTTTACGTTGATGATCACACCATGCCTAAGCAAATAAATTTAACTTATGATATTAATTTGCCCCTTGCGCGCCTTATTTTTGCGGCCGCTGAAGTAATCTCGTGAACCCACACATTACATTGATTAAGGGACGACTAGAAAATCTCACGGGCTTACGTAAACTCATGAGAACCCAGAGAAATGGGTAATGTGTTGGGTTGCGTATTTATAGCTTTTAGAAATTACGGGTATAGGTACAGGTATCAGTACGATGTATACAAAAATGCATGTGGATTTGTTGTACCCATTGTTACTACTTGCACTTATTTTACCCATAATAAGCCTAATTTGCACCATTTTCTTACCATCAAAGTTGGCAAAGAGTAAATTGCATATAAAGTTTACTGACTTTTTTCCATCATCTACAACCAAATTGCTGAAGAAATGCAAGCGGATGGAGAATCGGGTGATACAAATGATTTGGGATGAGTAGCTGGGGGAGGGGGGGGGGGGGGGGTATGGCCACAAATCCATGGGTGACGGGCGGATTGCGTAAAAGAAGTCGTACCAATGAGGTCTATAGGGACGACAAAGCCGAATATCCAACCCTATCCGTAAGTCCATAGAACGCCTATTGTCACCGCGCCAGTGCGGCATAATGGGCCGATTCATCCAAATCGTTCTGAAACTATAAACCTGGCACGTTGTCAGAGCAGAACGCCCTTTACTCGCGATCGCAGACACTTTACGATTTGGAGATGACACGTTAGCTACACCAGGACGGGCGCTTGTGACAGTGCCCACACTCGGGCTACAACTCTATAGATAACTATAGATAAGAAAGCGAGCTGACTCAGACTCAGACTCAACCCTGATCGGTGATGTCAGTCATGCAAACTCCCAAGGGTCGCAGTGATGGGTATTATTCAGAATGATCCACATACATGGCTAACTGTCAAAGAAAGGGTGAAAACCATATGGAATATGCACGATTCAGCTCCGTTACCCATTTGATGATTTCCGTGGCGTCGTCGTCCAGGAAGCGGGGGTAGTACGGCTGCTCGGTACGAATAGCCCAGAACAGCTCGTCCTCATCCAGGCCGATGAAAGGGGTCAGCCCGACCAGCCTGCGGCGACACAGGGGTCAGCCCGCCCAGCCTGCGGCGACACTGGTTCAGCCCGACCAGCCCACGGCGACACTGGGGTTAACCCGAACAGCCTGAGGCGACACAGGGGTCAGCCCGAACAGCCTGCAGCGACACTGGGTCAGCCCGACCAGCCCGCGGCAACACTGGAGTCAGCCCGACCAGCCCACAGCGACACTGGGGCCAACCCGAGCAGCCTGCGGCGACACTGGGGTCAACCCGAACAGCCTGCGGCGACACTGGGTCAGCCCAAACAGCCTGCGGCGACACTGGGTCAGCCCGACCAGCCCGCGGCAACACTGGGGTCAGCCCGACCAGCCTGCGGCGACACTGGGGTCAGACCGACCAGCCTGCGGCGACACTGGGGTCAGCCCGACTAGCCTGCGGCGACACTGGGGTCAGCCCGACCAGCCTGCGGCGACACTGGGGTCAGACCGACCAGCCTGCGGCGACACTGGGGTCAGCCCGACCAGCCTGCGGCGACATTGGGGCCAGCTAACGCGCCGTCGCTCAGCTGAAGTGTGTCGCGTGCGCTGCCGACCGGGCTGGCGCAGGTACAGCCAGCAGCGCATCGGCAAACCCGCCAGCACCAGGGAGCACCTATCATGTGTACCATGCAGGGAGGCTGCGACTATCGACAGTGCGGATCATATGTTCGACGCACTGACGAGGCGTCATGCCAATGGTCACCGGGCTTGAAGCTGTTCGGACCGCATGATCCTGGACGCCGCAGGCAGCACCATCATCCCAAGCAGATTTCAGGCTGACTTCGAAGCTTGCACTCATCGCCGCAGAGTCAGACCGAGTCAATCCCGACCACCACCCATCGAGAGCCACCGGAAACGTTTGCTTGGCTTGGCTGCGGCGCGAAACGCTTTCACACAAAAACCCCGGTCTGGCACGGCCACGGACCGCCGTCGAAGCTCACGAAATCCCGTTATACAACATTTCAGGCAGACCGTCACTGCTCTCAGACGTGTGTTGACAAAGCGCGAATCATAACGCCTGGTTATGAATAGACGTGCGGTTGCGTGCAGCTCATGACGCGGTTCATTGAGCGGTGGGCTCTTGACATGTTACCGCCATCATCGCCAAGACACACTCTTACTCACATTTCGTAGAGCATGATTCCGAAGGACCACCAGTCGACTGACTGGTTGTAGTTCTTACCGGTCACTACCTGTAATGATAGCAATATATGAACAATTTATAAATGTTCAGTTCTTCGGATTCCATGACACATTACCAGCCGTTCCCTTTGACGAGTCCACGGTTTCATCTGTTCAAATATCGTTTACACATTTACCCATTCACATGCGCCCCAGGTCGGCATCCCCCCCCCCCGGGAGGGGCGCGACACTTCCCCTTGTTTCCCTGCCCGCCGTTGCCCCATCCGGCGTCGGACGGAGCGACAAGCTTACCTCGGGTGCCATGTAGTCCACAGTGCCGCAAAAGGCGTCGGCCGTCCTGTCCAGGAAGATCTGCATCTTACACATTCCGAAGTCGGCTATCCGGACGTGGCCTTCGTGATCGAGCAGCACGTTGTCAAGCTTCAGGTCTCTGCGGGTGGCGCGACACGCTTGTTCTTACTTCAGATGTAACCACGTCTTTGAGCACACTATCAGGCTCTAGCGTTACCCGGTAAGGCTGGCTTGGTGTAATAGTGCAACAGCTATTTCGTCCGCCCGGAGATATTTCGCCGCAGCTTTCAGTAAGACGTTTGACCAGCGAAACTCGCACCAATCCTTGATGACGCGGCAGTGCCATCCAGCAGCAGACCTATACCCTCATTCGGTGTACTTTCTAGGATTTTGGAAAAGGTAGACACTGAGCCCATCCCAATGTGGGCAAAGGCGGCCACTCTACCGAAGACGCCGTACTCGACACTGTCGAGCGCCTGGGCAACAACACGGACATTGAAATGATGTCGTCGGGGACAAAATCGATCTATTGAAGGTGTCTGATAGCGTCGACCATGCCGCTTTCCTCCTCAGGCTGTCTTTCCGTGGTGCAGCCGACAGTAATTGGTACAATCTCCTCACGGTTTAAATGGTCTCAAGGATATTGTTCACGGTGGACAACTCGCTCTCTCAACGTTCTGCAATATGTCCCTGGGTTCGATCATTGGTTCGCTTTTATTCGTTTCGTTCACTTATCACCCACCTAGATATCTGGCCCACGGCCACCTCATGCCATAAGCTGACATCGATTTGCGCCTATACCGTGGGCCCCGGTACGTAACTTACGTGACGGATCGGACCTTTTGACGTGCTCAAAAAACAGACAAGAGCTCACCCCTAGTGAGAGTTGGTCCTTGTCTGGCGCTAACCATCTCAAAATGAATGAAAAAAAACAGATTTACGACCGTCTGCACATTACATTACGCGTGGGAAGTTGATAGCGCACGGGTGAAACGTGACGAGGAAAATGGGTTTTGAACAGAGTGGCATTACACTCTGGTCTAGCTGTAAATCTTGCTGAATAAAAAAGTATGATAGCGTAACCGGGGAAACGGATTCTGGATCAGCGTAACTAGCGCGTGATTTAAAGAAAGGGGGTCGGAAATGGCCAACAGAACGAATGAAGTGTATCGACGGCTCCTATCCTGGTTGGTGGATGAAAACAAAACTATAAACAGGTACCAGCTTAACATCTGTTATGAACGGGGTAACGGTGCGCTTTCAATGACATTCAAATTCTGGGTGAGATGCTAAGCTCTGACCTGTTTTGGCTATAAACGTTATGCGTGTAGCTCAACAATGTCACGGCATCATCGTTTCTTTCTTTAGATTGCGACACTTCTTATCGACGGAAGCCATCAAAATGCTTATCCACGCTTATGTCTTCCTTCATGCATGTGCTGCCTTTGCTCGTGTGGTGGGGCTGCCAAGCGTTAGCTGGATAACGAGATGCACACGTTGTCATTTTTATGGCTAGGATCAGTACTGCATCTAAAAACATTTAACCATTAACCCGTCTCTAAATCCTCTTGGATGGCCGAAGATCGAGATCCTGGTGACGCACCGTGACGCGGTCAAGGTTATCAGGGTATTACCGGGGAAAGTTGCGTCTGTTGAGATCTAGGCGCTGTTTACAGAAAGTGCCACTGATTTATAGCGTGAAACACGTTTCCCTGACAGGGGAAACCCTCACGTCCGTAAGCGTAGGATCACTGCGACCCAAATTGCCTTTTCATATCGCGCAAACTCTGCGTGGAATAACTTGCCGTCGTCAGTTATCATTATCAGTACTCTGAAGGTTTTCAAGACCACCATCCGCGACATGTGAGGAACCAGTCCACCAGTCTTTTATCTGCACGACATTTGCTAGCTCACAACTTGACGTATCCGTGACATATACAGGGCATAACTTTAACATTTGGCTATCCTGCGTGTCAGCCGGTCCAGGTGCATTGTACCGCCTTTCTTTAAACGTAAAACGGTGAAAGCCACTTCGTAGATTGTTTCGAACAGACTGTCCTGAGCGTAGGTGAGCCGCAGGTAAAAACATGTGAGCAGGCACAAAACGGGCATCAGATCGGCAAGAAACTCGCGTTTAACTTGTGAAAAATCGCAGTGGGCACCCATACCCTAGCTTTTGTCTTAGTTCGTTCCTGGCCTGGTTTTCATGACAGTTTCAGCTCGTCCACGGACGCCGCATGCGACTAGAGATGCCGCGTTAAAGCAGCGTGTATAGCACGTTTGTGCGCTCTTTGATGTAAAGAGATGCTGAGCATGCGACATGTTTGTGCATTCCTTGAACTAGACAGTCACAGAACAGAACAGAGCCGAGCAGCCCTGGAGCGGCCGGCAGGAGACCTCGCCTGTAAATGATGCCCCGCTTGTGGAGGAAGCGCAGTCCGCAGACCAGCTCGCTGGCGTAGAACCGCACCAGCTCCGTGCTGAACCGACCCATCTGGGCCAGGTGGAAGTTCAGGTCTCCCCCGTTCAGAAACTCCAGCACGAAGAACAGGTTCGACTGCAACGAAGTTGGCGGCACTGAGTGCGAAGCGTTCTTGTCGCACTCGCTGCGAATCAGTGAGCTAAGTTTGCACGCTTGCTTTTGTCGTCCAAATGACACTGTTGAACTTTTGTGGTGACAGCTGCGGCGTGCTACGGCCAAAAGAAGGAGACATTTTCTTTTGTCAAAGAAACACAGCTGGCTTCACTGGGACTGGAACCACAGCGATTGCTCCTTGTCGCTTGTGACTGTAGAATTCCACGGATTTGGCCACTGAGGGAACGGGTGTGCGAAAATTGACAATTTACATATACCATTGATGCTCGGTTACTCACCGGTGTCTGGAAAGTGCAGAATAAATGACACAAGTATGGGTGATTGGTTCCAAGTGTCAGAATCTTCCTCTCGATCAGGGTATCCTCGACGTCTTCATCGTCTACAATCTTGTCCTTGCGAAGGCATTTAATTGCGAAGTAGTTTCTGGTGTCCTTCATCCTAGCCAGCATCACCTGCCACAAATTCCCTCATTCTTGAAGGGAACACTTCCGCTCGAGATGCTCTCGACCTACGACACCGGCGAGTGTTGTGACCATACTTGGTCACACGTACACGGACACAGCCTTGGCAACCATTTCAACCGCGTCATACTTGATGACTTTTGTGACTACGGAGTTGACAAAACAACCCTATGCCTAACTGCTATGTCCTTGGAGTTTATTAATGGCATGGATTGGAGTAATCCATACCATCTGACAAGGGTGTAACCACTAAAGGGGGGGGGGGAGGGGAGAGTCTTAAGGACACTCGGTCACGTCCAATTTTGCCCATAGAATGCGCGTTTTCCAGTTCAAAATGTCATTTGCAGGACAGATTTCCGCTGCAGAATTTCCCCAACCATGACCTGTCTCCCAACTGAGGGACGTGGTTACATCAATGCCACCCGATAGTTAACAGCCTCTCAGCGCAGCCCGACCCTGCGCCGGCTGGCCTCAGGCACTGGCGGCTGGGCTGTGGCCCAACTGACCGTTGAACACATCAATCTAGGCGGCACAAGGCCAGGTGACGGGTTCGGGGGAGGGGGGGGGGACACGGGACCGGGTGGCGGCCAGTGTGTGTGCGTGTGTGTGTGTGCGTGTGGGAGTGGAAGGGCACAGGGCCAAGCGACGGCTGAGGTGCGAGACAAGGGATCGGCTACGGTCGGCAGTGGCTTAAGTGACAGAGCGCAAACGACGGTTTGAGTGTGTGAGCGGGGGAGGGGGGCACTGGGCCAGGCGTGCGTGCATGTGTGTGTGTGGGTGCGTAAATGCATGCGTGCGTGCGTGCATGCGTGGCTACGCGCATGCGTGCGAACGTGCATGCGTGCGTGCGTGTATGTTTGAGTGGGTGAGGGGGAGGCACGGGGCCGGGCGGCGGCTGGGGTGGGCGCAATGGCACTCGGCCTAACGGCGGGCTGCACTGTTAGTGTTGGCGGCCGCGCGTGCTGTGATAGCGCTAAGGCGGCTCGTCAGGGCGGCGCGCGTGGATGCGGCTGACAGGGGAGACAGAGCGGCGCACCACTGCCGCCTTCGTCCCGTGTCGCGATAAATTCCGGTCGCACATCAACACGCAGTACCAACCAAGACTAACAACATCCCTGGCCAATCTAAGTGCCAGAATATTCGATGCGCGACTTAGCTTACACGTCCTGGATCAGGGGAAAGGTGTGAAGAAATTTCCACCAAAGAAAGCATAAAGGAAGCAAGCGTTTCCAAGAAACTTACGCGGTTGTTTGCCTTCCCCCGTGTCATACATGGACTTGTCATGCGGCTCGATGATGCAGCTAGCCAGCCTTTAGTGTAATGGGGTGACTGATACGGTCCATCATGGTCCCACAATGACTGTCCGAGCCACCATGACCACGTGGGCGCATAACGATCCACATCGGTCTCCGCCTCTTTGTAACGGCGTGTCTGGCACTTCGATGGCAATTCAACACTCCGGGCGCAGCCATCCGTCTCGTTTATCGGCGTGCTTTGATCGGCGCGTGGCGAATTACGCAGCGCTCTCTCATTTGGTTGAGTTTACGAGCATTGGGTCATTACGCAGCGTCAATGTGCCACAAATCAGTCAGGAATGTTTACCAGCGAAACTGGAGACAACTTCAAAAGGAATATTCTGCGTGATGCGATGCGATGGAGCAAATGTACTATTCAATCGTCAATTAGTTAAAGGTGAGATGTTTGCTATGTCTAAATGTGTCGCAGACTGTGGGTAGTAGACTGTGGGTAGTAGACTGCGGGTAGTAGACTGTGGGTAGTAGACTGTGGGTAGTGTGCAAATCTGTGACTTCAGAATCACCTCCAATTGACCGTCCCGACCAGTTTGAACATCACTGTATCGGCCCAGCGACCTCAGGCCGCCACTCTACCCGCAGCCGGAGCCGCCGTGCCCCACGCGCGTACCTTCCCGAACGCGCCCTTGCCGAGCACGCGGAGCAGGTGGAAGTCGTCGGCGCTGTACTGACGGAACCGGGGCGGCGGCCCGCCCAGCGGCCCCCGCCGCCTGTCGAAGGGGGCCTCGTCGATGTCATCGACCGCCGGCAGCCGGCCGCCGGCCTCTCGTGACGTCACACCGTCGGCAGGGGCTGGCGGCGATGACGTCACCAGTTACCACGACGACCTCAAACAACAGGGTCATGGGGGGGGGAGGTTGAGAACGTTCATGGGGGAGTGAGAAGGGGGGCTGTTGAGGTGGGCCAACGGATCGTAAATTGCAGCACGGCGGGGCCGAGGTCACGTGTCGGTGTGAGCGTCGCGTGGCTTGTTGAAACTTACATGCGTTCAGGCTACATATCCGTAGGGCACACGTTATCGCGACAATCCGCTCGTCTCATACACCGCAACAGCAAATATTTGCAATGGCCTCGTCTCAGATGCCCAACATGTTATAACACAACATGACATATTGCGCTAACGTGCCGCATTCGTCGTAGATCAACGCATAATAACAAAATGTTACAGCCGTTGCAGCCTAAATGACGCAGAGAGCCAATGAGCCAAAATAAACAGTGTGCAATTAACAAAATGATGTATATTTGGTCTATACATCTCACGGAGAGTGACTCGTCACCCTTGAGGTATGCTTCCTATAGCACACCAAGTAGGAGGACCGGTATTTACCTGGTACTGCGCCCTGGATCCCAATAATTGTGTTTTCTTGATTCTGTTTTTGCTGTCGCTCTAAATCTTCGCGCTTTATCCTGAAAGCGAATCTGTGATTTGCCGGATTCTGCATGTACGTAACGGGATCATCTTCCATCCGCAGTCGCTCCATTTTCATCTTCGCTTTTTGTCCTCTCTGACGAAACTTCTCGATTTTACGCGCTTCTTCCCGCTCCTTCTCCTCCCGAATTCTTCGCTTCGCCTTTTCTAGGGGCGAAAGTTCTTCCTCAGAATCTTCTTCACTTGATGAGCAGCTCTCTGAAACAGAGCTACTCACAGACTTCCGAGATGGTATACCTGGAGCGCTACGAGAGTTCCGATCTCCACTCTTGCCAGAACTCCTCGTCTTTGACTTGGCTTTGGAAGGCTCCGGGCTCAAAGTTGCTGATTCCACCAGCTGACCATCTGCACAGTCATTTCTTCTGGAATGTTTTGAGCCTTTGCTTTTTACTTTGTGCTTGGCATGGTTCCCAGATTGCTTTGCGCTTCTCGATGTCTTCGCTGACTTTTTGTTCGACGTTCCCGTCACTTCGCGATTATCACCGTTCTTGCTTGCATGTAAGGCATCGGAGGAAGAAAGACGAGCAGCTGACATGGACTTCGAGGCATTTGACCGGTTACTATTGAGTGCATTTTTCCTCTCTTGGTCCGCAAGCAAGAACGGTGACAAACGCGACAGATTATTTCCGGTGGCTGCGATACCATTAGCGCGCTGCACCGGCGTCAGTTTGATGTGCTTTATTTCGGCGGAGGGATCCAGTCGCTTCTTGACCAACTTTACCTTCCTCACCGGCGGGATATCACCATTTTGGACGTTCACAGGGCGTGTGCCAGGCTTCTTCACTGCAACGCGCCCAGGAGGTGCGTTCTGATTTCCCACGCTTGACGCTCCGCTGTCACTCTGAGCAGGGACCGACGGTTTCGGGGGCAAGGGCGCTACCTTCCGCGGCGGTTTTTTCGCTGGAAGTCTTTGGTCCGGTCCCACATCTCCGAGGTGTATGCATTCAACGGACGATGAGGTTTCCGGCAAAGCGGCCTTTGGTGAGTGAGTTCCGGTGGGATTGAAACTGCAGGTGCCCTTTTCGCCGACTGTAGGCGTTTGAGTTAACGTTGATGGTTTTTGTTCCATGGCTTGGCTTACGTTCTTTGCGCTGCCTTTCTTGATTGCAGCGTCTTGTTCAACAGGGGCTGGTGTCGCCTTGTCAAGAACAGCAGAGCCTGGGGCGGATTTTACATTTTTCTTCGATGAATGATGCATCTCAGCTCCCGTAGACCCAGATGCTGTCAGCAAAGATGGCGCGGCAGCAGTCTTGACATCTGATATTTTCGGCTTTTCATCAGCATTCCTGTGCTCATCTGTAGCCTCTGTCCTTTCGGAGGCGTTTCCGTTCAATGAAACACGATAAGGCAACACTGTGGATGGTGGAGTTTTTGTTTTGCTTGCATTGCCGTCTTCAATCGACTGTGGGCCGACTGATTTGGCGCTGGGGTCCACTGCCTCCTGATCACCGGTAGCCGTCTCTGAAGCCTTCCGACTCCACGTTCTCAAAGGCGACGCTCGTCCCGACCTCTCGGGACGCACCCCACTCGACAAGGACCCACTGCCGTCCTCGTGCTCCGAATTCGAAGCACACCTCCACCTGTCCGGCCGGTGTTCGGGCCAGCCGTGAGCTGCGCCGTCGGGCAGCTTCTGCGCCTCGTCACCGGGCATCTTCTGCGTCGCACCATGAAGCAGCTTCTGCACCGCGTTACCGGGCAGCTTCTGCGCCGTGTCATGGGGCAGCTTCTGCACCACGTCACCGGGCAGCTTCTGCACCGCGTCACCGGGCGGCAGCTTCTGCGCCGCTCCATGGGGCAGCTTCTGCACCGCGTCACCGGGCAGCTTCTGCGCCGTGTCATGGGGCAGCTTCTGCACCACGTCACCGGACAGCTTCCGCGCCGCCCCATCGAGCAGCTCCTGCGCTCCGCGCGCTGCGCCAGGAGGCAGCGGCGGCTCTGTGACCTCGATGGTAACCGGCACGCCGCTAGGCCGGCGGGCCGTCGCCGTGAGAGGCGCTGCCGAGCGCACGGTGAGCCCCGGCTCGGGGGCGAGGACCGAGCGGCCCACGTCTCCGGCCTCGCGCTGAGGGTGCAGCTGGCTGCGGTCGGACGAGGTCTCAGAAGTCGTAACGGACACGCGCCGATTGGCTTGGTCAGATTCCAGGGTGTTTGGTTCTCGAGCGGCTGCGTTCTCAGACAATTTGTTGTTGTTTATGTCGTCAGTTCTTCCTACATCGTGAGTGTCTGCTGGCTGAACACATCTGCCTTTCTGACTGCTATGACTTTTTCGTAGATGAGAAACGACTTGCGCACTCGTATCGTTCTGTGCTGGATCGACCGCCCTGGAAATGCCGCTGTCTGGCAACTCTTCCTTGGTGTCGTGTAAAAGCTGCGGATGTGCTTGAAGTTCCGTTGTTTTCCGTCTTTTTGGCACATTTTTAACTTCCTTGGTATCTTTGGCACCGACCACAAGGATGCTATCCGCAGGGTCTGCTTCGGCATTTTTAGAGCAGTCGAGTGTCAAATTCCTAACCTTCTTGATCATCCTTTTCTGCGGGAGGTCGACATCTGTGTTCGGCTTAGATTCTGCTGCCTCAACTGTGCCCGTTGACTGTACCTGTCTCATTTGTTCTGGCGAAGCGATGCCCGTAGGAATTACTTCAGCGCTTTTCGAACAATTTATTTTCAACCTCCTGGCCTTCTTGGCTACCTTTTTCACAACCAGATTGACATCACTTTTTGCTGTATTCTCAGCTGTTTTTGCCTCATGCTCCGACTGCTGTTCCTTAGGTTTAAAGCCAACAGCATGCATCTGGGATGCCTCAGAGATATCGTTTTCAGTCAGGTCCTTCTGATCTGTCTTCAAATAATTTTCCGATGTTTTCTTTAATCCACCTGCAACATCCACAGCGCCCTCAGCCGGCGCCGACGTGCCGTCCGTCGCCCCGTCGGCGGCTTCAGCAGGCCGGCGTGCGGACGCCGGCACTGGAGGAAGACGCTCGCTACCACTGGCAGCACCGTGCGTTGCCGCTTTGTCCGGCAGTCCCGCCACCGCTGCACCGGTCAGCCCGCGTCCCCACCGCTCCTGCTCCTCCTGCTGGCCGCCTGGTGTGGCAACAGTCTCAGGGCCGCTGGCAGGTCTGGTGCGCTCGGCGGAAGCCATGAGTGGTCTGGTGCACTCATCAGAGGTCGCAGCCACCGGCCGCTGCTTGGGAGGCCGCGTTGCAGGCGAGGCGGTCACCTCAGCACCATCTCCGGCGGCGCGGTCGCTGCCGGTAACAGCGGGCCTGCTGGGCGGCCGCGCACACCCGTCGGCCGTCTCCGGAGCTGGGCGTGCGGTGCTCTTTGTGGTGGTCGGCGATGCCGCGGCTGCAGGTGGGGTCTTCAATGCTGAGGGAGAGCGTGGAGTGGAGGCTCTACTAGTGGCCGGCGATTGAGTGCGACCCTGAACACCCACCGTCGTACGGTCAGCGGGTTCAGTTGGGGCGTGGGTGGCAGGGCCCGGGTGGGCGGGCAAGCTGACAGGGCCCGATTGAGCGGATGAGGTGGGAGGGGCCGGGTAGGCGGACGAGGCAGCGCTCGCCCCCTCCGCCGGTCCGCCGGCAGAGGCGGCCCGCCGCCGCGACGGCAGCCGGCCGGCGCTGCCGTGCGCCACGGCGCGTTTATTCTCGGCCGACGCTGAGTCAGGGGCCGCGCCGTACCGCTCCGTCCGCGGCGGCGGCGGCGAGGCCGCGACCCTGACTGAGGTCAGGTCACCGAAGCCTGAGGCGCTGCTCCTGCTGCGCATTAGCCGCGTCGGCCGGGTGCCGCTGGCTCCCTCCAGCACCCGCGTGCGCGCCCGCAGCGAGCCCAGGTCGTGCGGCAGCGCGGCCGGGCTGACGGGCGAGACGGGGCTCACCGACGAGCCGGCCGAGCCGAGCGGCATGGCGCCGTAAAGTCGGCGGCCCTGCAGCACGCGCGGAACCCGGGCGCCGGGCACCTCGAGCGAGGCGAGCGCGCGCGCCAGGCTCGGGTCACAGTCGGCGCGGGGCGAGGGCGCCGCCAGCGCCGACCGGCCGGTGGAGAGGGCCACCAGGCTGGCGGGCCGCGGCCGCGCCGCCGGCGTCGCCGTCATCCCCAGAGAGGTGGAACGCCGGTAGAGGAGCGGACGCGGCTCGGCCGCCGGCCGCCGGCGCAGCGTCACCGGCACCATCATCACCGGCGCTGCAACGGAAGGGCGGCAGTTACGGCGCGGACCGGAGCAGGGCGGACCACTCGGGGCGGGGTGGAGCCGCCTGCAGCGGGCGCCAGGCGGCTATAAACTACGGTATTGCCCACCGCCGCAGCGATCTCGCCTGTCTGTTGCCCTGGAAAAGGCAATGAATTTCATGGGATGATTATGCCCACCGCTGACGCTGTGAACTGCAACCCCCATATGCGGTTCATGACAGGGGAAGAGATCTGTCTTAATTTGGAGCAGCGGGAGGGGAGGGGGTAAAACGCTTTAAGTTCCTTTCTGGCTACACAATATCATAGAAATTGTATAACCATTCACGAAGCTAGTGGGTTAAATGCTAGGCATCACTAAAGCTGATGGGGAAAGGGGGGGGGGGGGGCTGCTCCTCCTTCCCCGGTTTCCGCGCCTATGGCATGGGGCCTCTACGTTCGTATTCGTGTTTTGCGTCTGCAACTAAAAGAACGTGCACTTTGTTAGCTGATGAGCCGCATCCCACGTAATCAGATGTCCCTACACAAGATGCACTTCACCTTACACAACAAACGAAATCCTCTAAGATCCCACTCTGTTATCTGGTGGCTTTATGAACTTGTCAACCCGGTAGCATCGGGTTGACAAGTTCATAACGGGTTATCGGGTAACGGGTAACGGGTTATCCATTCATGCTGGATAACGCGATGAGGAAGCAAACTTGATAAATAGCCTCGGCTGCTCAGTTTTCATGCGATAAATGAATGACCCCAAATATAAAAGCCAGACCTTTATGATTTCTGGCTGTCATTCTCTCCTTGCCTTGCGGTACGTTTCAACAGGTCAGAAAAAAATGAACGACATTATGGAGGGGCATTATCGAAACATTTTCAACTGTTTATAACTTTCCTGGGTGACACTGACGTAGCGCCAATGGGCTGAAGCTGGGGCAAAAGAGGGTCAACTCTTTAGACTCATAACGCCGAAAAACCAGGTATTTCTTTCTTATATCATTACATTCATCATCATATTCATCATCATCATATCATCATATCATTTATCATTACATTCATCATATTGCATACATCAATTTACTTTCACCGTCCACTTCGATAGTGACACAACGAATAGATGGCTTTGCATGCCGTGTATAATTGTGGAAGGCTTCCGTAAGTTTCCATAATTTAGTGTAATTTTTACGCCGTGGCGGTATTCATTCGATCATCTCCACAGACTGGCAGCCGATTACGGGCGCGGCACGATGGCCGCATATATCTCAACGCAGCCAGGGCGCAGCGCCAAGGTAATTAGTCGAGTGAATCGAGATGGTGGTGTCAAGTATCCTGAGGCGGAGCGACACACAGAAGCCTACGGGAAATTACCATCGATTCCACTTCCGATGACAGCACCAGGATGTGCGAGGCGACGGGAGGTTGCCAGACGTCAGACGGCACTGATCTACGCCAGGGCAGTCTTCGGAGCGGCCAGTAAAACAGCAAACGGCAGTTATCGCAAGCCACGACCTAAACCCTGCCGAAACGGAAGATCGGAGGTACGAATGTCACGCTGGCCTCCCAGCGCGGGCGCTGATTGGTGGGTGATCGCCGCTCGGCCTTTCACGCCTTCGGTCGGCCGCTCCACGCCTTTCCTGTCGTCGGAGCTAGACAGGCGTCACTGCTGCCACCCCGGCGAGGCCACCTCGCTCTGCAACGGGTCTGCTGGGCGAGAGGGCGCCGGATATATCGGGCTACGGCCGACCCCAGCCAGTTCCCCGCCCCACCGTCGGCGCGCCGCCCTACGTCGCACTAGTCACGACGTCCAGCCAGAAATCCTGCCTGCAAAGGTGCATGTAGCCGGCTATTGGGGCCCAGTCACTTTTGTCTTAGCGGGAGGGTGCAGGCAACAAGTTCATCGTGTACTTACCGCCAGGAATGGCGCAATTCAGCGAGGCTGAGCCGTTTGTGAAATTGCAGGTGAGAGCGGTTTACTCATGGCCAAAACCGTCGATTTTTGGGGTTTCGGCTGAATGAGCTGTCGACGCAGTTTTTGATTTATTAAGCTGCTTATCGTCAGATACGCAGCCAAAGGGAGGGGTGTGGGACCGTGCTCCGCTCTCCTCTGAGCCAAGATGTTTACGCCAGATACTGGGAATTTTGCAGGAATTTTAAGTTGATCCAAGTTCGAAAAAAAATTGAAAAAAATCGGAAAAAAGAAGCTGATTCAAATCGCAGGAGCAAAGATAAAGTTTGACTTAGACCATCTGTTCCCATGCTCTGGGGAAACTTTTGGCTACGTCGTATTACTGTTACAGACTATCGACCAGTTTCGCTGGGGAAAAGTCGCTTAACTGTGGAATGAGACTAAACATGAGTCAAACGCAGTCTACATCGATCGATTTCCATGCGATCACGTTCTCACTGCGCATGCAACCTCCTTACGCACCCAACGCAAATGCGTGGGTCATTACTTCGCAGTACGCTGGCGAATCAACGGATGGGAGACCTGACCGTCCTCAGCCCAGACTGCGAACTTACCGGACTCAGATGGCGGTCCTGTGAAGCTGGCGTATCATATCGGATCGCACCGGGTCACAGGTCACAGGTGGCAGGTCACGATCACAAGTCGAAGGTCACAGGGCTCACAGCGCCAGCGCAGCTCGGTCGGCACTCCCGGCGCCCATCCACCGCCAATCTCAGGTCAACTGCCGCCCGGCCGCCCGGCCGACATCCGTATTTTTACATCTTTCTGCGTCACCTGGCCGTACCACGTGACCGGCATTGGCAGCGTGCGGCACGGTGTCGTCGGAGGGCCACTGGTGACCTTTGACCGGCGGGCGCCGCCGGCGGCGGTTGGCGGCCTGCCAGCGGCGTCCGCGGCCCGCCCGGCGCCCGCGGGCAAGGTCACGGCGGCAGCCACCGCGAGGAATGCAAGGCCTCCACGAAGGCGGGCGGATCAAACGCTCTTGGTGGACGGGTGGACCGGATGCTAGCCGGAGAGTGAAGGCCTGGCCTGAGTAGTGCGTCGGCGGACCTTGGGCGTCAGTTTCAAACGTTTGGTAGCGGTGGGATCTGATTGTTTGGCAGCGAGCATGACTGCTCACCAATAGTTTTTGGCACAGGTAGCTGAATGGGCCTCTCGTAACCAAGACAGCCAGCTCAGTTACTGACTGATTTTAAAATGTGTGCATACATCTCGGCATTTTGTTTCATTGTTTTCTTTTAAAGAGTACTCGTTTGCACTGGCGGCATCACTGCAGGGGACGTGGGGAGTACGAATTCCACGACTTCAGAACGTGTCTACCCACACCCACAGACAGGCCGAGATTTTCGAATGCATATGCAGGAATTCTAGTGAGGCGATCAAAATCCTGAAATCTTACGCAGAATGCTAAACGTACTTGCCGTGGTACTAAACGCACTTAACGTGGTAAACGTAACAAACGAACCAAACGATATTGATGCGACCAAACAATGCCGTGGAAATCGCAGACCGAAACATAACGTGAACATTGTATTGAGAGACAGCTACTCGCATTCTAAACGCCAGAGGTCGTGCTCGCGACTTCGGTTGCTCGATGCCTTCCCTTTGTTTCGGTAATTTTTGTTGTTTATTAATGTTTTCGGGCGCGTCGACTGCAATGATCATTTTGCGTCCAATGTGTTTCGGTAATTGTTACGCAGGGGTGGAATTTTGTGCACCATTGCAGGGACATGGCTCCTACTGCTGAGCTGGGTCCACCCAATGTTGGGCTGTGCCACTGCAACAGGGAACTTGACCCAAATGCTCTATCGACTCTTTGGCGCAATTGAGTCAAAACTCTGGTCATTACGTAAACTCTCAAAAGGACGACATCTTGCAAACACGTTTTAAGATGAATGCGTCGCTAAGATATGATACAGGGGAGTTTTCTTAACACCTTCCCACACTCACCCTTCTCATTCCTCCTATCCCCTCTAGCATTCCCGTGGTTCGGTAGCAGGGATTCCGACCCGCCAGTACAGTGTCACCTGGCCTATGAACTAAAAACGGCATTAACGCGGTAGCTCACACGGTCAGAGGCATTTTCTGAAAGCAGCTAGCAGTTATCAAAAAGCTATATGATTTATAATATGATCTGCACCACTAAATTAGCCAAGTCAGTGATTGGGACGAAGTCAGACTTTTAGCTTCGATGCAGAGCCCGAAACCAAGACAGCGATATGAAACCGAAGTTGAAGCCGAAGTCGATGGGTCTTGAGGTTGGATCTACGAAGCCGAATCCATGGATGTAGAAACGGGGGGCAGGGGGCCATGACTAAAACTTTTCAAGGTGATGGCATGGGGGGGGGGGGGCTCGAAGTCGATGGCTCTTATGGTCGGATCTACGAAGCCGAATCCATGGGTGTAGGAACAAAGGGCAGAGCGCCATGGCCCACATCTTTCAAAATGATGGGGGGGGGGGGGGGGCAGCAATGACAACTGGCCCACACTTTTCAGGCTGTATTTGCATTTGGCTTACTTTTGTTCTACCTTAAACATGCATGCCGCTTTACCTCGCTCACCAGCCATCTTCCTCAAACCGCACTGGACGCAATTGCTTCATGTCGTAAATGGCAGCATCTTGTCCTGATATGTACGTCGAATGGAGGTGTTGAGGGCCATACCTGAGGTTTCTCTAGGCACAAAGGCTCCATTCTATCTCTTTACATAGCCTCGGTTCTCCTGCATGGCTAATTACAGCCCGCTCAGCACATCCTCATGGGTGGAGTGCGAGATGACGTGACGTATACCAAAGGGACTTCGGATCGACCAGGGGATCCCCGTATCGCCAGAATGACAGCCGGAGCGCATCCCGCGCTGGGATAGAATGATCCTTCAGCCCTGGACACGTGCTGATAATGTACCTCATAGTGTTCTACTCACAAAGCCCTTATACGGAAAACATAAGGAGTTTCAGAAGTGTTGAGTGAAGTGGATGGAAATGATAAAAATGAAAAATTCAAAGTCGTGTTCGCTTGAAAACGTAATTATTTCGCAGAAAGTGAAAAAATAGCATAACACAGTTTAAGACCCTACACGCTCACAATCACAGGAGCAAGGACAGCGATGATCCGGGTTGCAATTTTTGTAAAACTAAAACAGCGTTGGTCGCTGCAGGCAACACGAGATGGTGGGCGCCATGCGCGCGATAATGACCCCCGTTAAATAATGTTTCCAAAGCCTTTCAAAATCATTTTGAACAATTCAGAGATCCGATTGGTGCTTATATTTTACAATGCCGAGGATTTCTTTCGCTTAAATTGGCAGTGGCAGCAACACGAAACATAGAGATGCTTCCTTTAATCTTTCAGTTTCCCCACCAGATTCCAGCACCACTTCGCGGTGTTGCAAACGCCAATCCGCCCTTATTATCAATCTAGAAATAGCACAGGCGAAAGACACAACTAGACCGTTTTTTGAACGCACAAATTGATGTTCTAAAGCGGTCAAACTTACTTCTTTCAGATTCGTCATCTTTTTTATTGACGCGCGGGGCTCACGCCGCGCGGCCCACGAAGACTGCAACGCCGGGGTCGAGGTTGTTGCTAAGATTTGCGAGCACACGTGTTCAAAACCACGTTGCATCATTTTTCTCAGCAGTCGATTTCGACCGAATAATGAACATTTCAAGACGAATATTGGTTGGCCATGCCAATACGAATTTTAAATCTTATTGCGATCTACAATCTACGTTCGGGAGGTCCTCGCTGATCAATCGGGTCGTGTTGTCGCACGTGACTTCGGTGGTATAACGAGCCAACTTTTATGCGTTTTACGATACCCTCCCCGAAATACTTGCTCAGAAAGGAAGCATTAATCAGCCTCTGGAAAAAAGAGCGCATCATGTACATACCTAGTCCCGTCTACGTTTAGCCCTGCACGACGCACAGAGGAAAAAAAGTTGGCTGGAAAAATCCAAATCCGAAAATAAAGTGGCCGGAATCCCGGGAAGCTTTTGTGAGGGGTGAGTTGGGGGATACAAGAGCACCACTAGGGGGCATCGCCAGGAACACTGCTAGAGCCTGAGTAAGGTGGGGCACAGGGTTGGAAAAGGCGTCCCTGGTAGCGAAAGGCCCCCAGAAAAATCCCCGGATATGGTCTATTCGTGAATGGGGGCATGCTTTCCAGTGATGTTTTTCTTTTTTCCCCCATAGATGAAACAGAAGTCAGAAGCAACCGCGATATGAATTCTGTTTGAACGTTATCGCCAGTGGACTGAAGCCACCATGCCTTAAACAATTGTTTGAAATAAACCGCCGGCGCTCTGCCTTTTACAACGCTTTAGTGGACTCATTCTAAACCCACAGAACTCATAGGCACAGCTATAATTTTACCTGGTTTCTACAGATGTATTAGGGACCCGCGAATGTAAATTGTAGTTCGAAATAGGTAAACAATTTGCGTTGGTCACGGACCATGGTCAACATGGTCAAGGCAGTTTGTCTGGAAATGTTCAACGTTTCTTCAGAATCGATTAGTGATGCAATTCATGTGACGCAATTTTAAACATGCGCGCTCGCGCTTTTAGTAACAAAAACCTCGACGCCAAGCGTTGCGGTCTCCACGTGCCGCGCGGCGTCGATCCCGTGATTAACACTAAGCCGTGGTCAACGGCTGCACGAAAGTTATAACGTACCTAAAAGAAGTGCCTTTGGACGCTTTAGGGTATCAAACCGCACATTTAGAAGGTAGTCTGGGTGCGCATTTCGCCGGTGTGACTGTTAGATTGGTGATAAGAACGGACTGACCTTTACAACACTGCGAAGTGGTGCTGCAATCTGGTGGTGGAACTGGAGGAGTGAATATAGGATCTCTATCTCGTGTTGCTGCAACTGTTAATCTGGCCAGAGGACAACCTAAAAGTTGTAAAATAGATAGGTCCAGTCTAATCTTTGAACGCACAAATTAATTTTGAACGACAATCGGAACAACTAAATCACGACGATCGCTCTCGCGCGCACGGCACCCGCCACCTGGCATTATATGCAGTGGCCAACGCTCTTCAGTTTTACGGAAACTGCAACCTGGACCATCGCTGTCCTTGTTCCCAAGGTTTTAGACGCGCGGGCCCAGACATCTTGATATAATTTGTCTCACTAATCGATTCCGCAAAAGGATGAATTTTCTCGGGCAAACACGGGACGGCCTTCCTCGTTTTTAAACTCATTTCGACCCACGTATTCAACACTTTTGAGAGTATTTATTTATTTCCGGGCAGAGGACTACCCTGAGTAGAACACTAGGGAGGACACATTGTTCCCGGTCAAGGGCCAAGGGGCCATTCCGCTCTACCGTGGGGTGTCTCTCGGCTGCCATTCTGGTGACACGGGACGGTATTCCCTGATCAATCCGGAGGCCCTTGGGGAGATACGTCATACCACATTGATCAAATCAGCACATCAAATATTCCAATGTTCAGTCACGAATTTGACTTATTTGCATTTGACATCTGATATTTAGCACAGAGACTCCAGTTCAGCATAACGGGCCCCTGGCTTGGATTTGGTTGGCGGACCCACCGTTCGGTGTTGGAAGCCCTGACTGGAGCAGCATCATTCTATCGTCTCAATGCGAACGCTCATCATTAGCTCTCATGATTCCCTCCATTATCAAAGGGCCCCGACCAGCGTAAGAGGCTTTCTGCCATTTGGGGTCCCGTCCCCGTTCCCGTTGAGCAAATGGTCCCCTGACTGACTCGAGACCCCTTGTTGACACAGAACACCATGCTCCGCACTGGGCTCCTGAACCGGCACAAGAACCCCCGCATCGTTGCAGGGTCCCGAACAACGCAAATCGTGGCCCCGGCGTCGTTCCTGCTTGAGGAATGGCGCCAAGAGCTCGGACCGACAGGGAGCCGACTGTTCGGTGTTGGTAATCTCGGGCTGAAATAGAGAAACGCTCTATCTCAGGAGTCTCCAATCGGTACAACAGGCCCTCTAACTGACATTTGACATCACAATCCTACGGGCGGGGTCCTCATTGTTACTTACAGTCAGCCGTTCGGACCTTTCAGCCTTCCAATCAGGCTCTTGATCTTTGGTCCTAAAAGACCCTTCGCCTCCTCTTCGGGCTCCCTCACCGGAATAACCTCTTGGAACCTAGAGAGGGGGTGGGGGCACGTGCCTCCTGTGCCCCCCTGCCTGCGCTGCTGGGTACCGCAGTGAATAGTGGCCCCCTCCTTGACGAAATTCTGGATCCTCCCTTGACCAGGTTCCATAGCTCTCTTGGCTAGAATCCTAGTTTTTTCACATTTCGACAAATCGGAATTAAAAATATGATTGACGCCACACAGTACTTGACGTTGGTAAATTTTTCTTTCAGTGTACGTGAACAATTACTTCAGACAATAGATGGAAACCGATTTTTTGCTTTGCTATCAAAATATACACCCAGAGCGGGTTTTGTGATTATTATTGTGCTGGACTCCGGGTGGAGTCAGAATCCACTTCGTATTCTTCTAAAGTTGTATTGTATTTTATGACTAAAAACTAAGTTGACCAAGTTAAGTTGACCAAAGTTAAGTTGACCAAAGTTAAGTTGACCAAGACCAACTTACTCGAATAGAGCCCTCGTTAAGTGTACGATTTTCATACAGAAAGTAAAACAATGTGTTGGGGAAAAATCCTAATCAAATAATGTGAGGTTTACTTTAAATTCAGGAGATAACTTAAAGGTATCTCGGATACACATCAATAATGTTTATGAATACGCCCAAAAATCTCTATTTAGCTGTCGTGTACTACTGCAACTTTAGCAGTTAAAGCGCATTTGTTACATTTGTGGAGCAAAGTGCAATATTACGCATCACACAACTATGCGCCCTAAACCAACGATAACAACACATCACACAACAGACAAAACACAACACACAACATACAACACGCGCAACACACGACGGTTTTAACGAACCCACACGCAACACAACTTAGAATCATTTGTACCAGCAATTAGAGCAATGCACTTAGTATGCTATTAGGGCCGTTCTGGTACACGGCCCTGAGTGCAATTTTGTGAGTGGTAGAGTCGCAGCTAGTAGGTGCGGATTATGCCAGTTACGATGACTTCGACTTACGTGGGTGCCGACCAATGCAAGGTAATAGGAGCGTTTTTTAGGTGCAGTTTCCAGACAGGGTAGAGGAACTATGCTTGTGAAAGTAATACTTAGTATTGTTTATTTACTACTATTTATTACTAGTAAGTATTGTCTCTCTGTGTGCTGAAAATGGTGCTGTTCTGTGCTGAAAGTGGTCCTGTTCTGCACTGAACTTGGAGCACCCAGATGTAAATCCTATATGGGCTGCCTTTTCCCCTCCAGATGTGATGTATTTTCTTGCAGTCTGGAATGGGCTTGGGACCAAAGGGCTGTCCATATATTTTACTATGCATATGAGTGTTTTGGTAGAGCAGAACAGAGAGATGGAGATAGCTGGCATTTGATAGAGCAAATAGGTGTCCAAATATGCAAAGTGTTGCCACCCTTACCAATAATAACTTATTGGGGCCCAGGCAGGAGTTTCATTTTTAGTGTTATGACTTAAAGTTAAGTTGACCAAGTTCACTGTAAACTTACTTGAATGAAGCCCCTGTCAAGCATAGGATTTTCATACAGAAAATGATATGTTAAAGAAAAACACTATGTGAAATAATGTAACACAAACACACTTAACACACTAAATGCAGCATAATCTTGGGAGAGAAGTTTTTTGTGCCAGCATAACCATTTGATTTTCCTGTGCGGAGAGGGTTCAAAATGTCCAAAATGTAGAACACAACCTGCGGAAGTCTCTTATTGGCTGTGCGTGGTTGTGTGGTCAACCCTTGTTAACAGGGGGTTTATTTTACACTATGATGCAAGTCTTGCTGTCCTTTGATCTGTTAAGCTTTTTGCATGAAACTTTCAAAGCATTGGAAGGTTTTTGCCCAGCTCAATGTGTCTGGATGTGGCATGTGGTTGACATTAGGTAAAGATAAGCTGAGTTGTATATATAATGTATGTGTTATATATATATATATATATATATATATATATATATATATATATATATATATATATATATAGAATCCTTCAGGGACATATGCATCATGATGTCATGCATATGACATCTTCCCTTTTCATTTCAGTGGGGCAGCACGGGGATGGGCGGCGCCTGGGGCATGGCCTGACGATGTGGCGCTGGGCGCGGCTGCTGCTGGTGCTGCTGACCTGGCCGTCGCTACTGGCCGCCGAGCATAGCTGCGCGCCGCGCTTACAAGTGGAGCGCGAGCCGGCGGCCGGCGGCCGGCTGGCCACCGTGCGCAACGCGGTCGGCTGCCACTGCCGCAGTCTGCGGTTGACCCTGCTGCAGCGCCGTGGCCGCCCATGCGCAGCACTCAACCGGACTGGGTGCGCGTGGCACGTGCTACCCACGCACGGACCACGTCAGCTGAACCTCACGCTAGTGCTGGCCGGCTGGTACCGTCCCAGCGCGTTCGACTGCTCGTGCGACGGCGATGACGCTTGCGCCGGACCCCGGCTGCGCAAGGGCACGCGTCGCTGGGTGCCCGGGCTGCGCCTGGACGCCTGGAACGTGTCCCTTTCCGCCGTGCCGCAGCCGGACGGCCACCTGGTTGTGTCGGTGTCGCGCCAGTTCGGCGCCGCCGGCGGCGCGCAGCTCTACTTCCCGCGGCTGGAGGTGCGCCTGCTGCGCCGCTGCGCCGACGGCCGGCTGCTGCTGACGCCCTGCGGCCGGCGCATCGTCCCGTTCGCGCCGCACCCGGGCGCCGGTGCCGTGGCGCGCTTCGGCGGCAGCGCCGGCCTCGAGACCGGCGTGTATGACGTGCGCGTGCTGCCGGCCGGCCACTCCGGCTGCCCTACTGGCTGCGAGCAGCGCCACCTTCGCGTGGTGCTGGCGGCCGTGGCCGGTGGCGTGCCGCCCGTCAGGCTGATCGGCCGTGGCCGCGACGCGCGCGCCTACGCGTGGCTGGCGGTGCTGCCGGCGCTGCTGGCCACGGTGCTGCTGGCCGTCTTCTGCATGCTGCGCAGCTACTCTGCGGCCGGTGCTCGGCCGGCGGCGACCGGCGCGACCGTGCTGATGGTTTCGTCGACCCGACCGGCCTGCCAGCTCGACCAGCTGAAGGCGTACCTGTGCGTGCACGGCATCCGCGTGCACGACTTCCAGGAGGGCGCTGTGCTCAACGCTTTCCAGCGACAGGCGTCTGTGCCGGCGGCGCTAGCCGTGCCGCCGCTGCGCGGGATGCAGCTGATGTTCGTGACGGCCGAGCGGGGCGCGCGTCCCCTGCGACCGGCAGCCGCGCAGGTGCGCGACAGCGTGCTGCGACACGTGCGCAACGCGGCGCCGGACGATGCGCTGCTCGTGCTGCTGGACGGGATCGAGGGGCCGGCCGGGCTGACGGCGGTGCACCAGTTCCGCGCGCCGGCGGAGCTGGCCCGCCTGGTGCGACATCTGCAGGAGACGGCCTGCTGCCCGGCAGGCGTCGCTGTGGGCGGTTCGCCTCGATAGGCGGCCGTCGTCCAAAGTGCATTATTTGGCTGTGAGTCGATCTGAGAATGAGGTACGTTGGGAAGAAACCCGAAGCATTGCAAGAGGCTGTAGCTACGTAATATTTTTCACCTGGTGGCGGGTACAAAGCTGCCACATGGCTCGTGAAATGCCATCTGTAGATGGAATTGGTCAGCTAAACATCGGGTTGATCTCGTTTATTTACAAGTGTTTCACATTTACAGGTGGTGGTTTTAAGACAAGTCCGCGTGGAAATGCATGCTCGCATAATGTTCGTCAGCAATTGTTCGTATGGCATTAAGTGTGCACGCAAAAATGTCGTGCGGATCGGAAAATTTTCACAAGAAAAATATACCATTATCGTTAGCCGACGGGTGACAATCGCAGAGCACGTGACTTTGTGGTCACGTGACGTGACGCAGAGAAAATACTGGGCCATGATTGGTGCAGACAAACATGCTGGCGGCACATCAAACGCGGCCAGGACAAGAGACCGTGCGGGTAAGTTTCGTACGCATAAAGGTCCCTCTATGAAATCGTTTGTAACCGACGCGCACATGCAAATTTGCGCACCGGATATTTTTTTAACTACAGCACGTACGTAAAACTTTGTGTGCATTGTTCACGCGGTATTATCTTTTACATTCATCTTTTGGATTTCCCCGCAAATTTGCATGCCGCGCGGTAATCTGGGGCTTGGATACATTTTAGAATTTAATCACAGCCTCGTGCAATGGCATATCGGTTGCGAACAATGCTGTAATTAGACGCCCTAAAATGTGAGTGTGAAAGTGATACCTGGCTGGATACATCGTACCTGGCTAGATACCTAAACGGTGAATTATTGTCGCATGTCAGCCGTTAAGGGTATCTGCATCGCGATTTGAAGGTTGGTGGTTCGACTCCACCCACTGCGGAAATCGCCGCAGTCTCACCAGCAAAGTTTTGCGTCGTGTAGGCACCAGTGACGTTAACATTTACACGCGTAATCTCAATGATATGCAGAATGTGATTACCTCTACATTAAAAGGCCCGCCACTAAACCGTACGAGTTAACTTGCTCCTTCAGGTCACATATTGTCACGCGACCCTTTCGGACCTGAATTTATTTGAGGGGTAATTAAACCCTGCTGAGATGTCGATGAACTCTGTACAGATGTTCTCGTAAGTGAGCTCAAATGCATCAATATAAAAGCTCTATCCCCCCCCCCCCTCAATTGTACGTTAACACCAACCTGGTATGACCCCTGACCCCCTCATCGTCTGGATGTGCACATGAATGTATTAAGAAGCACACAGTGATTTCATAATGGGCGTAAGCGAAAGATAGGAACTTCCAACAAGTTTCGAAACTGTGCTTAACAGATCGCAAACGGCATGCCAATGGGAGGTCCGCGATATCCCCTGAGGGCATCAACAATATTTGACACGGGAAGGACACACGGAAACTGAAAAGTACAAAACTGTGGTGTTTAACGTACGCACCCAGAGAAAGGAAACCACACGGTCGACGAGATGCGGTGGTGTTACGCAGGGATTTTCTGGTGCATCGTTAGTTAGGCTTCTTGATTTTTCTCGCCTCACTCTTAGGCGGCATCTGCCCATACCGGCCAACATTATGGCACGTGCGGTTTTTCCAAATTGTATCGGTTACGTACTTGCACGTGACGTTGTGCAATGCATATTGTTATGAATACCTTTCTAGAGATAGTGGCTGTACTCATCGTTAATCAACCTCATAAAAGGAAAACAGCTCCTTGGGTAATACGTATAACGGCAATAATAATATTTGTTTATATCAATTATGCGCGTCATTGTTAATGACGGCTGTTGGCTGTATGGCCCACTGCATTGATCGGCAGGTCAATATCATCTAGGTAATTCTCTGCTATAAAACGGCTAACAGGGGCGACTACAAATGGTGGCAAAAACGTTGGCGCACCGACATTACAATGGTCTTTATGGGACAGATTAGACCTAACATGGGCAACAAACGTCATTTTACTGCGATTCCGCAACTAGCATTCATACATTTACACAGTCTCATGCATGCTTGTCACCGGTCATATTAAAGGAAGGCGTACAGCGTGGCCACTACACACTGTCTGCAGCTTATGTGCAGCGACAATACCCCCTCAATTATGAGCGGAACCGTACGGTCATGCACCAGGCATGCCTTGGAATCTATTCTATTCGAGATCACGTGTCGGTTGGACCGCCCCACACACAAGCGGCGAACTGCCGCACCCAACGACGGCAGAGAGACCCTCACCCCACGCGCCCGAGCAGCACCTCTTATACTTCTTCCAAGGCTCATACCCGCAACACGATCTGCGCGCGACAGGCCGGCGCCACCGTGACGCACCGCCCCGAGCCGTGATTGTTCTCACTCAGACATGAGTCATCGCCCCACTCGCCTTACATGCTGACACACGGTCCCCGGGCATGGTCCACCACTACATCTATCCCTAGTAAACAGAAGCTTTCTAGTACAAGGCTCACCGTGGCATCACCACTTAGCCCCACCCGCTATCGTCACTGAATAATGCCGGAATTACTCATCGACACGCCCGAATCCCTCATCGACTCACATAAGCGCACCTCGCCTTCTAGAGTCGCTGGAATAATCCTAACAACGGTATCCTCAGCGACCTAATTCACCGCCGCTAATCAGGGTCAGTTTCTTATGGCCATCTTAGCAAAGTCCTTTCTGTGCCCGCATGTCAGTCCAACTACGGTGACACAACCATTTTTTTCCGACAGCCCAACGCCCTTTTCCGTCTTCCACCTTCTGAAAGGCGCAGGAAGGCAACTGAAAAGCGAGTCTCACCTTCTGCGAGTCGCGAATCCATTAACGGTACCATGCACGTGCTACTGCCATTCTCACTAGCAGCCAGAAACGTCCAAAAATCCGTCCCACCTCATCTGTGAATCGCGGAGAGATCGACCAACAGCCAACTTACTAATTTCTAAAGGGAATGGGATCTCTCAACCCTCGGCTAGAGAACTGCCCACGTACCGCATAGGACTTTCTCCAGCGCTTCCCGGCGAGGAGTCACTACGTAAAGCACCTGTGACGCATTTAGGCTGTCGTCACAAGACCCTTCAGTTGCAGTCGTGAAAAATTCACGATCACCCTAAGCTGCGCGCGATATCTGAGCCATGCGAGAAAATTAATTTATGTATAAACATGGACCTGACCGCGGCGCATCATATCTCATGGCGCCAAATTCAGGCCGCATATTATTTCATTGATCTACTAATTTCCTACAAACTTGTCACTGAAACACATGAAGCAATACCAGACAGGAGTCAGCAAGCCATTGAATAACACACAAAAACGGAATATTTTTATATCAGATATGTGATACGATATAGGCACAGAGTGTATGACATGCGTCAGATCAGAATTTATATGCGAGCACGTAATCCCAAAAGACTCACAGAAACGCGTATTCTGGATTATCTTAAAAAGGCCCGGGGATCGCAGAATCGCCGAGGGGTAGGCGATTCCTTCAACGGGCTTGCATTTTCTGAGATGTAAGGGCCGAGCGCCCGGCCGTCGGGGCGCCAGGCCGGTAGGGCTCCAACACCCTGGCCGTCTCACTGTCTGAACGGTACCCACGGGCTGGTTGAACCTCCGTACTCCGACGGGGTCGGCGTTTTTAATGGACCGCGCCCCCTATTGATCGCCCTAGCATATGTCCGGAACGAGCACCTAAGCCAACCGTAACAAAAAGCCGTACTCATAGATAAGACAGTAGTGTTAGCCTTATTCCTCGGAGAAAAGCCAGGAATGACTTCTGCTATTGTTTCGTTAAAGGCATTGTTACGTTAAAGGCATGTTGCCGACATATCAACCCAACTATATCTCAATTTTCCTGGTTTCTCTCCGGGGAATGAGGCTAATACTACTGTCTTATCTATGTGAATAATGCTCCTCGCTAATGCACCGAACAACACGTAAAAACCGTACTCACACATTGAAAAACAGCACGTGGCCCGCGGCGGATAGACACGCCACGCGCCACGGTGGCCCCTGCAGCGACCATTCATCATAGGCCCGGCGCCAAGGACAGGGATTTCCATCGGGCTGATCTTACATATCTGCACATGAACTTCTGAATTTTGTCAAAGAAACTTTACCTCTGACGAACATTTGCTCGCGAACTTTGGGTGCGCACATGGGCCCCGTTTGATTTACCGTCGGCACGATTGTCAGCTGGAATGCTTGCTGACTGGGATTTCGATGTGTAGGCTGACAGGAAAGTTTTTTAACTGCATTTTCCTTTTTCCCTTTATCTTTTAACTACTTCAGACCACACTAACTCTAGCGTACCACCAACTATGAAGCACTGCCTACAAAGCGGTGTTTGGAAGTGTGGATCCTGCCCTGATATTTCCATGATCTATCTCACTCTTAAGTTGAGTGCTTCTTCAAATTCCTATTCCGTTTCAGTTTCTACCATTCTCATTTTTAGCGTTCGCTCCTTTTAGTGTCGAAAAGTTCATCGATCCTTCACTGCTTCTCATGCTGGCATGAAGCCCATCCTTTCTTTAAACTCCCACATGTACTGACAAAGCCCCTTTTCGAGATCCGTGGCGATTCTTTCCTGTTCTCCATCTTTTACGAGTACTCTAATGCTATTAATTTACTGGGGAACGGAATCACACACCATACCAATTACTGTCACTCACCTTTTCATGGTTCCCTTGACAGTTCAGTTCCCTTCTTATCTATCCTAAGTTGCATTCGCTCAAAATGAGAGGCAAATGCCTCCCCCCACGCAACGTTCTCGCCAACTCAGGGGCTACCCAATCAAACTCCTGCTTCTTTGTCAGAGTGATTTTGTGATATGACAGCGCTTTCTCTCCATGCCGGCGGGCCGACAAAAAATCCTGACATCGTCGTCAGCCGGCACGTGACGTCACAGATTACATGACTTCGTGACGACGTGGCGTGATGTAGCGCGAATACTGGACCGTGATTGGTAGTAACAGACGTGCTAACGACAGATCGAACGCAGCCATGATGCAGCAACTTACAGACTTTCGCGTACACACCTGTGTCCTACGAGCTTTTAACGACTCTTTCCTTTACGAGCTTCTCTAACGTGCGTTTGCTCGCAACGCGTGTACTGTATCTGATGCTGCCGGCTGAACTGGGGCAATTGTTTTGGGGTTTGAAAAGAAGCGAAACCATTACATATAATTCTGCGTCAGCGTATCCCGAGTTAGCGTGATGCTATCACGAAGCGTAAGCGAAATCGAGGGTTGTAAGATATCTCTCTAAATCTCTCCTTGGTACCAGCTCCTGTCAATCTCAAACCATCCATGATGGTATGAGGATTCAAATCGCCACGCACCCGCTCGGAAGAGGAAAGACAGGATAACCAAACTAAGGAGGGGGGGGGGGGGGGGGGCACAGCCCAGCGAAGACTTTTCGCGTGGGGGTGGTTGTGGTGGGGGCCCTGCGTTCTCGATCTTGGTTGTATCTATGTGCGCTCGCTATTTTACTTCTGACATGGGTGGTCTGCGGGCGGTGGTTGCGGCTGTTCAATGTCAGGGAGGTCAAAAGGCAGCGGAAGGTGGAGTCAGAGCACACACAACAATTCTGCTCTGCGTGAGTTCGTGAACCTTGACTTTCATAAATCATTTCATTGCCGCTTCTCGTGTTTCTATTCCACGTCAGGCAAGAGGACCTCAACCAGCGCAAGAGACTCTCTGACATTCAGGGTCCCATCTCGTTGCTCTTCAGCAAGACATGTGCCCCTGGTCGACCAGGAGCCCCTTGCCCACGCAGCCTCCCGTGTTTAGCACTCCTTGCCACGAAAGACACACCTGTTTTAGCAACCCGGCCAACGCAGGGGGGCCTTCAGTAACAATCGTAGGCCCCGGCTTGTCCCTGCTTCGTAAATGGTCCCTTAGGTTCGTAGCCGATTCAGAGCCAACGGCTCAGTATTGGTGGTCTCGGACCTACGTAGCGACCTTTGTCGTCCCGGAGACCCCCGATAGGCGCAACGAGCCCCTTTGGCTGACCTTTGGGTGTCAGGCTTGCGGCCCAGGGTCGTACCCCGGCCAGCCCTTCGAGCCCTCCACTCGGGCCCTCGATAGTCTGTACCGAGGGTCCCGAAGACCCCTAATGATGTTACATTAATTTCATACATTCTGGTATAAATTCTCCATTTCCTGGTATATTTTGGCCATTTGCTTCATTGACATAGTGGAACCTGAGCCAAGCTGGTACAAAACGTTCTTTCTGGACATGTCCTTCGTGTATTTGGTAACTTACGTATGCCTTACGATTAATGGCCTCGTTAAACCTGTGGAGAAGATGGTCATGCTGATGGAAATAACCTAATCTGTGCTAAAATATCCACTGTGGTTGTGATGCATTCCAATTGATAGTGAATGCTCATTCTGATCACTTCGAGCTCATTTCATTGACTGGTTTATGGGGAGCCATTTACTTCCAAGCTTTGTCAGCTGATCAAGCTCATCCAAGGTTCTCTAATCAAGTTTCAAGCTGATCGCGGCGAATGCGGCATCGGGGCTGCCCAGTGAGCAGGCGCAGTTGGGATCGCTGGGGCGATGGTCACGGAGTGCGCTGGTTGTCGGATGTAACCGGATGATAGAGTCCCGCTGGCGCTTACAATATGTTTCTCGCAGGCTTGCTGGGGCCGTTGTAGCCGCGAAGACCTTGAAAGCTGATCGAGCAGCATAAGTGAAAGTAATCGGGTGCGCGCCGGAAGTGTATTGTGCGACTGGAGAGCGTAGTGGTGCCACACATTGCTACTGGCCCAAGAACCAAATTCGGCGAGAAGAAGCTGTGTGTGTGCGGAGTCCTGTGATTTTCTGGAAGGACAGGGTCATGGGTCTTCTGTTTGCCAAATTTTGGAGCTTTTTCAACACTGATGGTAAGCATGAGGGAACAGTTCCCATGTCATATTTGGGTTACGTTCTGGATCACATGGTTGGGTTTGTGAAGAGAACATTTTTTGTTGATTTTTTCTGAGGACTAGTAAAAAATCTTCATTGCATGCAGTTTTCATACTTCAGTGGCAGGGTTATGTCAGTTTTGATTATGTCATGAAGTGTCAACAGGGTGTAAACAAAAAGCAGGCCATGCTGTGAACACATCTGGGGAAGATTCTGCATGATGTTGCACAGATAAGAACAACTTAAGTGTGCTGCAAATATATCCTTGGTCTTTGTTTGGTCACTGAGGTACAACAAAATCTCTGAACATAAGGTTCCTCACCCATCCTCAAACTAACCTATCCACCTGACCTGCTCAAAGTTAGTTAGAAATGGGATCCTTAGACCTATACAACCTGTGCAAATGATTTTTAAATGTTGATAGGGAGGGATTTCCTACAACTTTGTTTGGTGGTTCATTCCAACAATTCACTACTCTGACTAAGTGACGTCTGCCTCGTCATAGTTCTACTCTTACCTTTTGCTAATTGAAAGTGTTGCTCTCTAAGTCTCTGCCTAATGTCCAGTGCTGCTTGCAGACCTACCTTGTCTATCCCTTTCATAATCATATATTTGTGTTAACTTCATACTGTTAGCATAATCTTATCTTATATTGATATTAACTTACGGTAATTTTTTACTTGGGTACCTGTATGGCCGACGGAGGGAAGAGCTACGCCAGCTGCAGGGTTTCGAGTATTGTCGTGCGGGGCAAAAGCTGTGAGGCATCAGCTAACATTGTGACGTCACTGAAAATGGTTTTGCATCGATCGGGTTCGGGGTTCTTTCGGGCCGACTGAAGGCCATAAGGCTTTTGCTTGTGACATGGTGTCACTGGTATTCGGCTGGGTATGTGACGTCACTGGCCGTGAGTGTGTAAGGCTCTTTTGGGTCCACTGAATGCCGTAATGCATCAGCTGGCCATGTGTCGTCACTGGTATTCGATTGAACATCAGGCGCGGCCGGCCTCGTTCCATCTTTACTTTTCGTACCTGTCTGCTGCAAGCATTTGCGTGCCGCATAAAGGTTTGACCGAATTACCCCAATGTGTGACGTCCCTAATCATCACTTCATACGAGTGCACTTAGGCCTCACGACCACGGTGTGTCGTGGTCCGCAAAGTATCACCGGATAGCGTGACGTCACTGGTATTCGAATAAAAACTGGGCGCAACAGGCCGTGCTTCATTTTTACCTTTGTACTTGTCTACTGCAAGCATTGGCGTGCTGGATGAAAGCTGCCGAACCACCTGAGTGTGCGACATCACTGGCCATGAGTTCCAACGGTGCTTTTCGGCCAACTGAAGACCACAAGGAGTCAGCTAACGACGTCCCTGCTATACGACTGTAAGACGTCAATGGCCGTGGGTTTCCACGGGCCCTATAGGACCGACGAAATGCCGTTAGGCATCAGCTGGCGACATGACGTCACTGGTATTTGGCTGAACATCAGGCAACAGGTCATGCTCCATTTATACCTTTCGTACATGTCTGCTGCAAGTATTGGCGGATTTTTTGTGCGGCCAACTGAAGACCATAAAGCATCAGCTAACGATGTGACGTCGCTGGCACTCGACTGTGCGTGTCGCTGGTCATGAGGTTTTACGGCCTCTTTTGGGGCGACGAAAGGTCATACGGCAATGACTGAAGATGTGACGTCACTGGTATTCGAATGAACTTCGGGCGCGATAGACCATGTTCCACCTTTATCTTTGGTACCTGTCCATTGCAAGCATTGCCGTGGAGGGCTCTGCCAAATTACCTGAGTGTGTACGTCACTGACCATTAATTTGCACACTCTTTTGAGCCTACTATAGGCCACAAGGCATCAGCTGACGATATGATGTCACTGGGTTTCGACTAGACATCATGCGCAACAGGCCATGCTCCATCTAAGCCATGTTTCGTCTGTACCTTTCGCACCTATCTACTGCAAGTATTCGCGCGACACAGGGGCTCTGCCGAATTACCTGAGCGTGTGGTGTAACTAGTTATGAGTTAACGCGGGTTTACTCTGGCTGACTGAAGGACATCAAGCATCAGCTGACGATATGACGTCACTGGTATTCGACTAAACTTCAGGCGCGACAGGCCATGTTCCATCTTTACCTTTCGTACCTGTCTCTTGGAAGTATGGGCGTGCTGAATGAAGGCTCTGTCGAGTCTCCTGAGTAAGTAACGTCACTGGTCAACAGCTTTTTACGGGACCTTTTGTACCCCCAAACGGTATAATGCATCAGCTGATGATATGACGTCACTGGTGTCCGACTTAACATCAGGCGCGACAGGCCATGTTCTATCTTTACCTTTCGTACCCGTCTATTACAAGTATTGACGTGCTGAATGAAGGCTCTGTCGAGTCTCCTGGGTGTGTAACGTTACTGGTCATGAGTTTTTTCTGGCTCCTTGGAACCCTCTATAGGGAAAAATGCATCAGTTGACGACATGATGTCAATGGTGTTCGACTTAACATGAGGCGTAACAGGTCATGTTCCATCTTTGCCTTTCGTACCTGTAAAGTATTGGTGCGTTAAATGATGGCTCTGCCGAGTCACCTGAGTGTGCGACGTCACTGGTCATGAATTTTTACCAACTATTTTTGGCTGAGCGAAAGCCATAAGGCATCAGCTAACGAAATGACGTCACTGGTAATCCACTGAGTGTGTGACGTCACTGGTCATGAGCTTTTACGGGCCTTTTTTGGCCGAGTTCAGGTCATTAGGCATCAGATAACGTTATGGCGTCACTTGTATTCGAATTAACATCAGTTGCAATAAGCCATGTTTCATCTTTACCTTTCACACCTGCCTACTGCAAGTATTCGTGCGCTACAAAAAGACTCTGTCGATTCGCCTGAGCGTGTGGCGTAACTGGCCATGAGTTTGTGCAGGTTTACTCGGGCTGACTGACGGACATCAAGCATCAGCTGACGATATGACGTCACTGGTAATCGACTAAACTCCAGACGAATCATCTGAGTGGGTGACGTCGCTGGTCATGAGTTCATACGGATTCACTTGGGCCGCCCAAGGCCACAAAGCAACACCTCCCGTGAAGCATCACAGGATGATATGTCGTCACTGTTATTCGACTTAACATCAGGTCCAAAATGCCACGTACTTTCTTTACCTTTTGTACTTGTTTATTAAAGGTATTGACGTGCTGAATGAAGGCTCCGTCGAATCTCCTGAATGTGTGACGTCACTGGTCACGAGTTTTTTAAGGGCTCCTTTGAACCCATTTTAGGTTATAATGCATCAGCTGATGACATGACGTTACTGGTGCTCGACTAAACATCAGGCGCAACAGGTCATGCTCCATATTTGCCTTTCGTACCTGGCTGCTGCAAATATTCGCGTGCTATATGAAGGCTCCGCCGAATCACCTGAGTATGTGACGTCACTGATCATCAGTTGGTAGGAGGTCACCTGGCCACCTACGGCTACGGAGTTCCGCAGCAGAGGTGGGAGATGCACCATAGTTAAGCACACCAATTTTATTGTGCGCACCATTAAGTAACAACTTCAAACGCAACGGGCTGTTTCAACGACTAAAATTTTGAACAAACGTAAACACAAAACAAAGGTGATCCCAGCCCACAAACCGACGTATATGCAAAGCTATTCCGCCCGACATCACAGGATGCGCCCCTGAGCAGCTACGGTCCGGAATGCCCTGATGGCTAAATAATAATCAAGGGCGCCGCCTAGCGGCCATAAGTCTGGGCCACAGCCCGAATATCAGTGACGTCATATGGTCAGGTGATGCTTGATGTCCTTCAGTCAGCCCGAGTAAGCCCGCGTAAACTCATGACCAGTTACACCACATGCTCAGGTGATTCGGCAGAGCCTTTATGTAGCGCGCGAATACTTGCAGTATAGAGGTGCGAAAGGCAAAGATGGAACATGACCTGTTGCGCCTGAGATTAAGTCAAATACCAGTGATGTCATATCGTCAACTGATGTCTTGTACCCTATAGGTACAAAAAAGCAGCCCGTAAAGAACTCATGATCAGTGACATTACACACTCAGGAGATTTCACAGAGCTTTCCTTAAGCATGTCAATGCTTACAATAGACAGGTACGAAAGGTAAAGACGAACATGGCCTGTCGCGCCTGGTGTTAAGTTGAATACCAGTGACGTCACATCGCCAGATGATGCTTGATGTCCTTCAGTCAGCCCGGGTAAACCCGCGTAAACTCATAACCAGTCACACCACACGCTCAGGTGATTGGGCAGAGCCTTTATGTGGCGCGCGAATACTTGCAGTAGATAGGTGCGGAAGGTAAAGATGAAACACGACATATTGTATCTGATGCTTAATTGAATGCCAGTGACGTCATATCGTTACCAGATGCCTAATGGCCTTAAGTCGGCCCAAAAAGGCGCGGGAAAACTCATGACCAATGGCGTCACACACTTAGTGGATTACCAGTGACGACATATCGCTAGATGATGCCTAATGGCTTTCCCGGCCAACAATAGCCTGTAAAAACTCATGATGACGCACTCAGGTGATTCGGCAGAGCCATCATTAGGCTCGCCAATACTTTAACAGGTGCGAAAGGCAAAGATGGAACATGACATGTTGTGCCTGATGCTAAGTCGAACACCAGTGACATCATATCGTCAACTGAAGCATTATACCATATAGGGGGTTGAAAAGAGCTCGTAAGAACTCTTAACCAATGACGTGATATAACACGCGAATGCTTGCAGTAGACAGGTACGAAAGGTAAAGATGGAACATGGCCTGTTGCGCCTGATGTTGAGTCGAATACCAGTGACGTCATATCATCCCGCGATGCTTTACAGGATATGATGCTTTGTTGCATTGGGCTGCCCAAGTAAACCTGTATAAACTCATGACCAGTGACGTCACGCACTCAGATGGTTCAGCATCACCTTGATATAGCACGCGAAAGCTTGCAGTAAACAGGTACGAAAGGCAAAGATAGAGCATGGCCTGTTGCGCATGACACCTAGACGAAAACCGGTGACGTCATATGGTCAGCTGATGTGGTATGGCTTACAGTGGGTTCAAAACAGTCTATACAAATTAATGGTTAGTGACGTTACACACTCAGGTAATTCGGCAGACCCTTCCTTCAGCATTCAAATACTTGCAATGGACAGGTACCAAAGGCAAAGATGGAGCATGGCCATGGCCGCCTGAATTGTATTCGGATACCAGTGACGGCACATCTTCAGTTAATGTAGTATGACCTTTCGTCGGCCCAAAAGAGGCCGTAAAATCTGATCACAAGTGACATCACACACAGTCGAATGCCAGTGACGTCACATCATTAGGCTATGCTTTACGGCCCTCAGTTGGCCCCCAAAGATCCATAAAAATGCATGACCAGTGACGTCACACACTCACGTGATTTGGTAGCTTTTATTCATCACGCCTGTGCTTGCAGTAGACAGGTACGAAGCTAAAAATGAACCTTGACCTGTTGCGACCAATATTTAGTCGAATATCACTGACGTCACGATACCCAGTGATATTTCACGGAACATGATACACCGCGGCCGTGGGGCCTAAGTGCACTCGTATCAAGTGGTGATTGGTGACGTCACACATTCAGGTGATTCGGTCAAGCTTTTATTCGGCACGCAAATGCTTGCAGCAGACAGGTACGAAAGGTAAAGATGGAATAAGGCCCGTTGCGCCTGATGTTTCATTGAATACCAGCGACGACATATCGTCAGGTGATGCTTTACGGCATTCATTGCACCCAAAAGAGCCCTAAAGCCTCACAACCAGTGACGTCACATATCCAGTCGAATACCAGTGACATCATATCGCTAGCAAATGCCTTGTAGCCTTCAGTCGGCCCAAAAGAACCCAGATCGATGCAAACCCATTTTCAGTGACGTCACTACGTCGGCTGATACCTAACAGCATTTCTCCATCATGGCAGTACAGGAACCCTGCAGCCAGCGTAGCTCTCTCCCCACCGTCGGCAATACAGGTACCCAAGTAAAAAAAAGCCTAACTTACATCTGGTATGCTCTGATGTATTAGTTGATGCATATCAGATGACTTTTCATTAAAGTCTCATGACCATAGGTTCTTAACCATCAGCAATCTAGGAGAAGCATAATATTGTTGCTTTTATGCATTGAGTTTGAATGTAAGGTGACACAAAAACAATGCTGCAGCTGTAAGTGCCATTGTTAACTGTCATCCTCCCATGGAGATTATGGTAAGCCCAAACTCCAGAATATTGTATAATTGTCATTGTACAAAGAGTAAAGTGCTCACAACAAGGATGCCAGAAAATCTGGGAACTTGTTGCAACTTTGCTTGCTTATATAAAGTTAAGCACATCAGCTAATGTCTGTTGACTTCATGCAAATCCCACAGTGTTTGCCATCTCTAAATTTTGTTATGCATCAAATTTGAATAATCAGCTGGTTCCTGTTAACCTGAAGAAGGTTGCATGGTGCTCATCTTTGAAGTTGGTGTCAAGTTGGTGTCACTTGGTGTCTGATATCATCTGTATTGATAAACTTATGGCAGCAAGGGGACCAAGTGAACCAGGGAACTATGGGAACTTGCATGTATGTGTGAATTATGAAACTTCTGCTACTGCCATCTGACATAAAGCAGATATCATCATTTTCGTGCTCTTTCGAGCATGTTTCATTGGTGCTCAGTACCTGCATTGACCAATTAATGTTAAATGCTGTGTTAATGGTTTCCTAGAGATTTCAAGAAATCTAATGGCTTGGTCATTATTTTCTATCTATCATTTTGGTTGTAAGCTAAGTCTGCTGCCTATTGGTGAAACTTGAGAACAACTGAGGACAAATGGAGTTAACACATCTTTTTGGTAAGATATTTTGGCCAGACTACTGTTGTTTTTTGTGAAAATTTCCTGCACACTGGAGAACAAATATAGTTAGAAGACCTTTTTTGGTGAGAACAAGCCCATGGAGCAGCTTGTTCCAATGTTAGATATGTGCACAAGAGCAGGATGAGTATGCATTCCAATTCAGCTGGCATATGTATTCATTTTAAAGGATCATGTTTGCCCAAAAGTGTTATTCAATCAATTAGCATGACAAGCTTTTGCACTTTTTACAGAGCACAAGATAGTGATTGTTGGACTGGACAATGCTGGAAAAACAACAATAATGTACCAGTATCTGCTGGGTGACACTGTCCATACATCACCAACGATTGGATCCAATGTGGAAGAAATAACCTACAAAAACACCCAGTTTGTGATGTGGGATCTGGGTGGCCAAGAAAGTCTCCGGGCATCGTGGAACACATATTATGCCAACACACAGGTGAGTCAAACTGGCAGTGTATGACACTTCTAGATCTGGTATTGGATTCGGCCCTTGCCACTGTCAGGACAGGTCGGTGCAGGGGCGGTGCCGTCTTTCAAGGAGTCTTCTGAATCATTATCTGACCTAGAAAAACGCCACTAGGTTCTTTAGGCTCATCGTGCATCTGGCCTTAGTGTCAACTACCTGCCATGGCAGATGGCCAGGCTGTGACCTCAGTGGGAGTAGATGAAAACGTCTGTAGAAAATATGGCGAAGCGGTAGTGTGTGACATAAACTTGGTGCTGTGTAGGCTAGACCTATGTTCCCAGCAGTTCAGATGGTGTTAAATGGTTATAAAATGAGCTCACCGGTTTTGACAGCCTTGGCGCGGCAGTTTAGGCAAGTTCATGGTTACATCCGGTCGGATTTTGAAGGTGTTGCCAGGTTATTCCACGAGACTGTCGGATCATGGATCAAAGTGGATGGCGGGTGTCAGTGATGCCATGCAGAAGAGAAATGACCGGGTAAAGCTGCAAAATCGCCCAGAGCTCTGATATCACTTCTACTGTGTATAAATGTCACAGCGGTACTTGAGGCTGTTAACTGCAGGGTCGTGTAAGATCATATCGAGCCATGTTAAGATCATGGCAGGTCTCGTGAGGGCTTGGGATTCCCTCAAATACGACGTGCGGAGAGCGAAGTAGCTCGGTCGGGAACGTGTTCAGGGTCGGCGCTGGAGGCTTGGTTTACATCCTCGGCGGGCGCTATGGCTTCTGGGCGCTGATGGGACAAATGCAGTCGCTGATGCTCCATAGGAGTCGCGCAACAACGTACGCCACACAATATTTTATAGAAAAAATACGCCCTGAAACTATGTAACGCAAATTTTCAGCTCCAACGTATGGTGTCATGTTCTTTGCCTTCATTGACTTCAACGAGCCTTGCCGGTACGAGGCTAGCCATCTCGTACTTGAATGGCTTTGCCCTTTGGTTCGGCGAACTTCGACCACGTGCAAGCGGTTTTTTTCTTCTTTCGTTTCACGGATTTCTTTCCTTTCATGAAAGGAAAGGAATGCGTGAAAGGAAAGGAAGGAGACTGCTTTTGAAGATGGCGAGGGCCCTGTTCTAAATATTCATGCAATCTTGAAAAATACGTAGGTCTGTACCGTATTTTCAATGCGTTATCCGCGAATAGCGCTCATAACCAATTAAAATTTGTATTTGGTCATGGTTTTTCGTGATTCTGCACTGGCTTACCATCCCGAAATGTGACTGGTAGCTGCGAAAGATCAGCTAAGTTCACCCAAGAAAAATTGGCTATATCAGAGAGTAAAGTGAGCTACTGAGACACCGCAACGGTGTCATAAGTGGTGCAAAAGCGTTCCCACGGAGATACTGAGGGAGCAGCATAGTGTTCCTTCGAGCGGCCCGGGCTCCAGCTTTGTTACGTTATGCAATGGATTCACGTGCCGTGGCGAAAAGCATGCGATTGTCAGGAAATTACCCATAAAGCTGGCATGAGACAAGGCAAGTACGGACTGCGTCCTGGAGGGTGGAGCATACCTGAACAGGGCCTTGTTTTACATGAAGACAGAGGGTGGTTTTACGGAAAGATAGCTGGGTAAACAGTAGAGACCTTCGCATTGTTTTCGTGAAGCTGGGGAAACCAGTTTTTCTGCTACGTTGCGTGCGCATAACGAATTCTTTGGCGTGGCGCACCCTGATGTCCCGCATTAGCAGTGTGTGCGTGTGTGTGCGTGTGTGTGCGTGTGTGTGCGTGTGTGTGCGTGTGTGTGCGTGTGTGTGCGTGTGTGTGCGTGTGTGTGTGTGTGTGTGTGTGTGTGTGTGTGTGGTGTGTGTGTGTGTGTGTGTGTGTGGTGTGTGTGTGTGTGTGTGTGTGTGTGTGTGTGTGTGTGTGTGTGTCTCTCTCTTCTCTCTCTCTCTCTCTCTCTCTTCTCTCTCTCTCTCTCTCTCTCTCTCTCTCTCCTCTCTCTCTCCTCTCCTCTCTCTCTCTCTCTCTCTCTCTCTCTCTCTCTGCCTCTGCCTCTGCCTCTGCCTCTGCCTCTGCCTCTGGCCTCTGCCTCTGCCTCTGCATCTGCCCTATGCCCTCTGCCTCTGCCTCTGCCTCTGCCTCTGCACTCTGCCTCTGCCTCTGCCTCTGCCTCTGCCTCTGCCTCTGCCTCGCCTCTGCCTCTGCCTCTGCCTCTGCCCTCTGCCTCTGCCTCTGCCTCTGCCTCTGCCTCTGCCTCTGCCTCTGCCTCTGCCTCTGCCTCTGCCTCTGTCTCTGTCTCTGTCTCTGTCTCTGTCTCTGTCTCTGTCTCTGTCTCTGTCTCTGTCTCTGTCTCTGTCTCTGTCTCTGTCTCTCTCTGTCTGACCCTCGGTCGCGGTCGCGGTCACTGTCTCCTTCCCTCTCTCCCTCTTTTCCCTACCTCTCTCTCTCTCTCTCTCTCCTCTGTCGTGCCCTTGTGCTCGCTCTCGTTCCATATGCCAGTAGGGAGACCGCACAACGCCGTGTCGTGAACGCGCCGTGTCGATCTGCACCGGTGTGGGGTCGTTGATATCGCGACATCTGCCCGCCAGCCGAGACAATGACAGCGTGGTGCCTGACTACCCCTCCCCCCACGGTGGCACGCCGAGCGGCGAGACTTTGGCCGCGCCTTTGTGTGGGCTTCTGTTGCTGCCGGCGCCGGCGGTACCTTGGACCTGTTCGTGACCGGGCCGACTTTCCCGGCCCTCGTTAGCGGCCTGGCCACCAGTCCACGCCACCCGGCCGCAGCCGGGGCGGCGCTGTCGAAAGGAAGGGTCGCACGGGGCCACGCCTTTTCGCGCTCCCTCGGCACAACTGGGCCGCCGCCCTCAGCCGCGGCCGTTTGTAGGCGATACGTCAAGCCGACGCACCGGCGACACGTGCCTCCGCGTGTCAGGAGTTCGGGCCGGTCAGGACCTGGTCTATCGCCGCCCCCGCCCCCGCCCCCGCCCCCGCCCCGACTGGCCCGCCGCGCCCCGCCAATCGCGTCGTTATGTCTGAGGGTGTGGTGTGGCGCGGCCCGTCGCTGGTCCAAATTGGCTGTTGAAGGTCACCTGGCCGGCATCTTGTCGCACGCCGCCTACCACACCGGAGAAAACGCGGTCAAGGTCAACCTACACGGTCGGTCCGGAAGATCCCGTATGGTGGCGCCTCGATTGGGTGGCCGTGTTCGGTGGCACGGAGCATCGATCAGGAGATAAACGTATCTTACAAATGACAAATAACAGATGCGTACGCTATCATGTTTGAGTTTCTTGGTCAGTAATGGACGCGAATTTGTCAGGTCAAAGACAACTTTTTCCTAAAAATCGAACGATTTCAACTGTACCTGTCAATTGTTACGAAACCATGAAGCCACAACACGAAGCCTAAACACGCGTGTTTAATTATGAGCACATTGATATATAGTTGGTGTGTTTTGAGCATATGTTTCTGATATAGAGGTCCGTTTGAGAATAGCATGCCACACAGTTTGTAGTTTCACTTACTGCTAGATCGTATACGTCCGATGGATCGGAAATACCAGTTTTCTCCATTTTTGTTCTGGATAGGTCAGAATGTCTTTTGAGTAGTCGCTCCTGTGGGAGAAATCTTATTAGTCTCCCCGCTCATCGCTAAGCAAGTGATACTTAATGTCGGCTTCGCTCTTGCTAACGTATGTATTCTTTAATGTTTGCGATACACATTGTCGTCAAAAGACTGGTGCAATATAGGCCACAAAGTCTGGGAACACTTTTAGGTAAAATGAGGTAGGGACGCAAGGCCATTATCGCGCGAGTTCGACTTAACGTCACCCTTTGGATTGGATTTCTCCGCTATGGCGTTTAGCACAGAGGGTCTGTACAAAGTGCACTTAGGCTTTCGGAAACAGACTGTACATTTGTCTTAAGTGGCGTACTGTCTGAAACTTCAACCAATGTGCTTCTTGGTAATTGGCCTTCGCTGCCCGCTGTGCCAATCGCAAAGGTACACTTTTACTAACGTCATTCATACCAACGGAGTTGCCACTTTTAAGCTCACAGGCCCGCAATGTGTGGATTAAAGCAGCTCAGAAGTGGCACCTCTAGCCCATAACAGCTGACGACGGTTCTCAGCAGATTCTACCGTTGTCAATTATCGCGGTCAAGGGCTGCAATGAGAGGAAGAAGTCTAGTGCTGTCACGAAACATTGGGAGAGCAATTTGGACCCGAAAGTAATTGTAACCAATCTCCTCATTACATGCTGGTTGTATGAGCGCAAAATGTTATCCGCAACCGGGTTAGACGACAGCGACATTGCCACTGCTGTTTTTTTTTTTTAATTAGCACTGACGTCGCCCGAAACCTGACAGAACACGACCTTCATCTCGTCTCGGGCATCAAATGGAGATGCATCACGGCCAGAGCGGCTCCGAACACGGGCTTATGCACGGTGCGGTGGTTCAGCAGGCGCTGGTGCGACTCCAGGTCATTCCTAGGGGCATCAGCGGACACCGATGCAGGCAGCAACGCGCGGTCATTGTCCGCTGATCCCCGTAAGAGACCCGAGGCTGTACCAGAACCTGCCACTCTGCCGGACGGCGAACCAGCCGGTGGTCGGGGCGGCGTCGACCGTCGCGTGTCACCACGTGGCCTGTTTGAGACCCGAGACGGCCACGTCCTGTCTGGTTTCGGGTGGTGCTGGAGATAATGAGGAGCAGCCATGGCTTTGGCGCTGCTGTTTATATCAGCGGCAAATGATTTCGAGGATGTTGCACTGTTCGTCAGCTGGATTACAGACCGTCAGGTATGGATATACATAACCGTCAGGTGCACAAAATATTACAAAATGGTTACAGAACGACACTAAAAACTCTAAAAATGGTTGGTTGAAACGCTTCCCTGCTTGGATGCTATGATTCGTGCTAATATCATGAGTTCTTTCAATGAAGTGTTCTACGTTTGTATAAGGTTTTGAAGGTTTTGAGGATCGTTCGGTGTAATTCGTAGTCCCATCGTTATTAAGATCCGAACCCACTAGTTTCTGAGCTACACGCCTGCGAAAATGTGCAAACTATTTCAAGGTCACCCAGGCATCCATGTCATCATAACGTTATTCAAATCCTGACATTTCGATGGCCGTGTGGCTATCAAGGCCTAGCAAATAGTGGTTGTATAGTCGTTTATATCTGGTGTTCGTGAGCCCGATGTCCAGATGTAACGAGCCCCAATTGGCTCTCAGTTGGCTGTGATGCTTGCTTTAGTATTCTCATGTCGAGCATTCCTTTTAAATACATGCGGTATGTGTAGAAGATTGATGGATTGCCGGTAGGTACTGTGCACATCAGTGCATTAGTGCTTTGGGGTTTCCGAACTGGCCGTTGTTTCACTTCAGATCCCAGTAGGCAGTGCTGGTGATGTATTCGCTGATGACGTTTAATGGGCTCCGCCGACTGAGTGAGCTCTATTGCGTCTGGATCACGTCATACCTTGGCAGTTTCGTCCGTCGCATGACATCGTCTAACGCTTCCACCGTGTCATGTTGCCAGTTCATCATTCTGGTGGTGGACTCGACCGACCACGAGCGCCTGCCGGTGGCCAAGGAGGAGCTGTACAAGATGCTGGCACACGAGGAGCTGGCCAAGGCTTCGCTGCTGGTGCTGGCTAATAAACAGGCGAGTTTACTGAGTGGCGTCAGCTGGCCTCGTGGTGGGGTCACGTGACCAGGTCCTGGGGATGCGGGCTGATAAGGTGGGATGAGGTGAGGTGAGCTGTGCTGAGCTGAGCTGAGCTGAGCTGAGCTGAGCTGAGCTGAGCTGAGCTGAGCTGAGCTGAGCTGAGATGAGCTGAGCTGAGCTGAGCTAGGCTGAGATGAGGTGAAGTGAGGTGAAGTGAAGTGAAGTGAAGTTTGAGATGAGGTGAGGTGACCGGTGTTCCGTCTCAGGGAGAGCACCGGATGGAGAGTATTCGAAACGGTCCAATGTGTGAGTGTTGCGTGAGTTCGCGCTGCCACTCGCAGGTATATGGCAGCGCATAACAATGCGCGTCGTGGTCGTCTTCGGATAAAAGAACGGACCACCGTGGAAACTGACGACGGGCTGCTCGAAAGGCAGATTATAGGTGAACCCGTGTATTTTCGGCTCGTCGGAAGGGCTGACCGGTGACTCAGGTGCCGCACGACTGAGCTGTGGCTCACCGACACAGGAGATGAAGCGGTGGCCCGTTGACATGGAAGCTGAAGCTGATATCCGCTAACTCGGAAGCTGAAGGTGTGACCCGCTGACGCAGAAGCTTAAGATGCGGCCTGTATATACGGAAGCTGAAGCTGTGAGCCGTCTACACGGAAGATGAAGGCGTGACAAGCTGACACGTAAGCTGAAGGTATTGCCCGTCGATACAGAAGCTGAAGCTGTGGCCCGCTGACACGAAAGCTGAAGGCATGGCCCGCTGACACGGAAGCTAAAGCTGTGACCCGCTGACACGGAAGCTGAAGGCATGGCCCGCTGACACGGAAGCTAAAGCTGTGACCCGCTGACACGGAAGCTGAAGGCATGGCCCGCTGACACGGAAGCTAAAGCTGTGACCCGCTGACACGGAAGCTGAAGCTGTGGACGCTGACACGGAAGCTGAAGGCATGGCTCGCTGACACGGGAGCTGACGCTGCTATCCGCTAACTCGGAAGCTGAAGCTGTGACCCGCTAACACGGAGGTCCTTGTGGCGTTGTGACTGCGGCCTGTCAGGCAGTCCCCGGCCGCTCACACGGCGTGACCCCGGTCAGAGCCGGCGCCGTCTGTCCCGGCGGCGGCTGCTGCGCGGCCGACCGCAGACGCCGCGACGCCATCTGCGGTGTCGCCGTAGCGGGGCTGGCCACGGCGGCGGGTGCTGGTGGTGGGCGCCGTCGGTGGCGCTCTCCCACGGCTGCATCTCTAAAAACCGCCTCGTGCCGCTGCGGTGCTATGGCGTGTTCGCCTACCTGTGACACCGTGTGGTACCGAGTGCCGTTGGTGCAGGGTGGCACCAACTGCGGTTGGTACCGGGTGATACCGACTGCCATGTGGTACCGCGTGGTACCGGGTGCCGGTGGTGCGGGTGGCACCGACTGCGGTTGATGCCGGGTGGTACCGACTGCGGTTGATGCCGGGTGGTACCGACTACCGTGTGGTACCGTGTGGTACTGCCTACCGTGCGGTATCGTGCTGTCTTCCGGGGCGTATAGATGCAGATGATAACCTGGACCCGGGGCGGACCACTTGCACCCCGCGCATTCCGCACACTCATGCCTTTGTCAGCTGATAAGTCGCCGTGTAGCGCCAGCTGATAGGCCTTGTCAGGTTGAAATTCACATTCTTGAGTTTGTTGCTTCGCGGGGCATGTTCATATTTACTGCAGCTTCAGATGCATCCGGGGTGCCCACGGGATGTTATCACACCTGTTGCGTGACTGGCCCGCCGGCCGACGGCTAATGACACCACCTGTGCGAGGGCCAGCGGAGGGTGTGCCGGCCGGTCTCTGCGCGCGATGGAACGTGATAGGCGGGGCTTAAACCAGCCACAGCGAGGCTTTCTCGGCCGCTGTCGCCTGACCGGCGGCTTGTTGCAGGACGTCAAGGCGGCAATGTCGTCGGCGGAGATCAGCAAGGTGCTGAACCTGACGTCGCTGAAGCGGCACCACTGGAGGATACAGGCGTGCTGTGCGCTCACCGGCGAGGGGTGAGAACGCTCGGTCGGCCAACAGCCGCCACCGGTCGTGCCCCCCCCCCCCTGTCTCTCGTTCACCGGCGAGGGGTGAGACCACTCGGTCGGCCAATAGCCGCCGTCGGTCGTGCCCCCTCCCCCCAAGACGCTGACCCTGGTCGGGGTGGGCGAGAATCTGGAGAGGATGCTGCGTTGTCATGGGATCAGTGACGTGCTTTAACACGCCTTCGTTCATGGCTAAGCTGAAAACGCTTGTTAAATATGCATTCATTGTCCTTGTGATCTTAATTTGGAAGACGGGGAAACAGGACAGGCTCCAAATGGGCTTTAAGGCGTAGCGATGCCTTCTTCATGAAGATTGTCGTTCATGCACAGCAAAAGCATACAGGCTCCACTTGTCGAAGCATCTTGTACACCACTCCGCAAGCCGCCCGTTAGTCAGCCCATGTCACACTGATGCGGGCGTTTATGTTTCAGCTTGAACCAGGGCATGGAGTGGGTGTGCGACCGAGTGCGTAACAAATGACCAGCGTTGACTTAGCTGCAGTGCGGACCAGTCGCCCTGCTTTCCGTTGCCCACCGCCGGCTCTGCTCGTCACGTCACGTCACGGCGGACCCGGCCGCCGCGTCACGGCCGGCCTCGTCACGCCGCCACTGTCATGCCCCGTCATCGCCGGGTCTCGGTATGACGTCATCGCCACGCCTCGAGCCGCCGCGCTCTTCATCGCGTCACCGCCGGAGTCGCTCCGACGTCACCGCGAGGACTCGGTGTCGCCACCTGACGATATTGGCAGGACGCCGCCAGGGTCAGAGCGAGTGTCCGCCGTGCCCCAGCGCCTCCCCCTCTCCCTCTCCGAGGGGCTGATTCCTCTGTGAGCCATGTGCTGCGGCCTTGCTGATGCAGCCCTGTTCCTTAGCGCGGTCTGATGCTTAACCAACTGTGTCTGCGTCGCCTCTGTTGGCACCTATATATCACCCGCCTTTCAAGCTTAGTGTCTTCCGCCTGTTCAGTCCGCTTGCTGTATGGGAGCCAGCCCGCTGTGTCGCCTCTGCACCCAACTCTGGCGCGGGGAGGGCCCAGTGCCGACTAGTGCCACACGTCCGTCCGCGTCTGCCGGCGATGCCCGACTGCCGGCCGCCGCCGGCTGCAGACCGCTCGCGCCAGGCGCGGCCGGTCGCCGTGCCTGGGCCCTGCGCCGCCGCCGACTCCAGCGTCGGTCCGCCCGCTCCGGGCAGAGACGGCGGCCGGGCTCACGCCGCTGCCGAGTCGGGCTCCGCGGAGCGTCCAGTGGACGGGTGTTGGAGGCGTGGGGGGGGGAGGGGGCGACAGGACTCGGGCTCCGACGCAGTCTGACTCGATCCCGCGGCGCGACGTGTTGGGGCAGAGTCGGGCGGACCGGCGCGCCGCTCTGACTCCGACTCCGACTCCGAGTCCGACTCCGACTCCGTGTCTAGTCGAACCGGCGCCCGGCCGGTCCCCAGTCGTCTTCGAATGTGATAGAGTTAAGAGGACGCGTCAACGACAAGACGGTGTAAGATGGTCTCGTTGTATATACATCCATCCATACGGCATCCTTGCTGGCTGCGAACAGTCCCTTCCACAGCACCAGCGCATCTGGAACTAGTCTGGTCTTGTCTGTCTAGGAAATGCCCTTGTCAGGTTTCTTTCAACACCGATTGCTGGCGCTTACCAGGTTGTTTTTGTGTCACAGGAAGTAGGTGGGTTTTACCCATTTGCGTGTGATTATTTATCATGGCCTGCGACTGTTTTAACGTTGGTTTTATCCGGATATGGCAGTGATGAGTGTCTCCAATGACGTCGGTGAAATAGGCTTATTTTTCCATACATGCCGACAATGACTGATAAATACACGGTCGTAAAAAAATTACATGCCGTTTTCTCGAGAGTCCTTGACACAAAATGTAAGCAGTGGTTACCAAGCCTTCTTGACTCTTCTTGATCCCTTGCGTCACATCATAGTCTAGTCTCAATAAGACGAATGGTTTTGAAACACAAGTCGTGAGGTGGACGAAAAGCGCGGGGTAAAGAGTCAATTTTGATGAGATATGAAATGAGCGCTAATCTTCCTCGATTGGAAACTCACAGTAGCAACACGCGCAGAACTATGTCGTTTGTCGTTATGATCGATGTCGCTATAACGATGTCGTTTCTGGCTAAATGGGACTCAGACGGGATTATTTACCAGCGAAGTATGACAAATATCTGTAGCCCTTGACTCAAGTACATTGCCCTGGATCAGTAACGCGCTCGCGAGGGGCATGTGTCTCCCTCCCCTTGGATCTATAGGGTCCCCTGGGACCAACGTTCAAGGGGACGGTTGGAGCCCGAGAGGCGTAAAGGGCTGGGCTTAGTTCATTTAAGCTAGATGCTGAGGGCAAGGCGATCCCTCGTCTTTTTCCCTTCAACGCCAACACCGGAAGGGCGACATGCCTTTTTCGTACGCTGGCGCAGGGATAGAGGTGAGGCTCTGGGAGGATGGGTAAATTAAACAAATACTTGATACAAACGAGTTCGTCTGCGGAATGTGAGGACACGAAGAGCTGCGGGTGCCTGTTTCTGAGCATCCCCATCCCTCAAAGAACTATAAGGGTGCCAACTTGTCGAGGTGTCGAGTGTGCGTGTGTGTGTGTGTGTGTGTGTGTGTGTGTGTGTGTGTGGTGTGTGTGTGTGTGTGTGTGTGTGTGTGTGTGTGTGTGTGGGGTGTGTGTGTGGTGTGTGTGTGTGTGTGTGGTGTGTGGTGTGTGTGTGTGTGTGTGTGTGTGTGTGTGTGTGTGTGTGTGTGTGTGTGTGTGGTGTGTGTGTGTGGTGTGTGTGTGTGTGTGTGTGTGTGTGTGTGTGTGTGTGGTGTGTGTGTGTGTGTGTGTGTTGTGTGTGTGTGTGTGTGGTGTGTGTGTGTGTGTGTGTGTGTGTGTGTGTGTGTGTGTGTGGGAATGACGTCACGGCGGCGAGGCGCATCAGAAGGCGGGAGAGGGGGCTCTCGTTAGTTGTGACGCTGTTGTCGTAACTTTTCCCTCAGCGGAAAGACACGCATTCACATACAAGACTCGACCAGGTGTTACAGATGCCAGACTTTTGGGCACGTCACTGGCAAGTGCTAGAAGCCTACGCAGCGTGGGAGATACGAGAAAACTGGACATCAGTATGCGGATTACGGAGTCGACCAAGCATGCTGTGTTAACTGTGGTCAAGGGCACGAATCGTCGTTCAGAGACTCCGGTGTTCCTGACCCAGACAGAGATCATGGACAATGAGACGAGTTGGGGTATGTCATTCTGAGAGGCCCAGCGCCGACGTGAGGCCCGAGCACGGCACGGCCTTATAGAGTCGCTTTGGCTGAACCGGCGCGGAGTCTTCCCGAGCTGTCACCGGCACGTTTTAACGCCCTGCAATTGTGCGATCTGGGCGGTTTCAAAACTATGACAGTTGGCGAGTTTGTACAGGTCATTGAAGGCACGTTCGCTTCATTTAACGTCGTTACTTAGTCGTGTAAAGCACAGGGCCCAGCGACGGAAACGCGTTCTGCGGCAACACCAGTCCCACTGCAACCCACTCCGAGGTGGCCGAACCTTCGCATGAGTCTGTAAGCAAATTTGGTTGTGAAGCGGGTCCTGGGGACGCGGGATGGCCCGTGGTTCAGCGGGACCGTGGCTCCCGCGCTCCTCCAACGCCCGCTAGCTCGTCCGGTGCTGGAGGTTTGCGTGCCCGCACACCGACTCCCTCCCCACCATCCCGACGAGCTGGGTCTGGAGGTCAGCGAGAAACGAATCCGGTTGTATCTCCGCCCGCGAGCGGGCCATGGCGTGTCCCGCCCCGCCGCGGTGTTGGCTCGCGCCTCGCAGCGTACATCAGAGCCGGATGTCCGCCCAGCGGCGCTGGGCCCCTCTGCCGCGGGGAGTTAATTAGTTAGATCAGGCGTTAGGCCCGATCTGCGCTTGGGACGGCGGCTCCGGGTGCGGTGAGAGTGGGCGGTCGCAAGCGACCCTACCGCCCTCCCCGGGTGCCGCGGGCTGGACCCCGTCTAGTGCCTGTTTCCCTTCTGTCCGTCGCGCCACCAAGTGCACCCTGCCTTGGCCGGTGTCGCCGACTGAGGGTGGAAGCCCGGAGGCCCGACCGAAGAGTAGGTCGGGCGCTTTCGCGAAGGCAGAAACGTACCTTGAGCTCTCCACGAGGATCAGGACCTCGAGCTCTCCACGTGGATCAGGAACTCGAGATCTACCCGCGGATCAGGACCATGAACTCTCCACGCGGATCAGGATCTCGAGCTCTCCACGCGGATCGGGACCTCGAGCTCTACACGTGGATCAGGAGCTGATGATCTTGTGCAAGTTGCTTAGTGTTAGTAGTGTCAGTTCATGTTTTAGTTCTATGGTTTGGTTCCACGACACTAATTCTAATCGCTGCCGAATATTTTGTTGCCTGAAAATAATCAATCGATAAGTTGTCGGTGATATTGAGTTCCTCGTCCTTCGAGTCTGTATTTGACCTTGAAGCACGAACTTGAGAGGTCAGCATTTCGTAACAGGCGCTCGTTCATGCGCTTGACGATTCTGGTGCTTAAAATTCAGATAGGGTCGTAGCGTTTGGATTATATGGCTTTACGCTACATGGGCGCAAAATTATCTTCGACGTTGGTGCGCCGCAACACTCCAGTCATATTTTGTGCCATTCGAGCCTGAAGGGCGGCCTTGATGTTCAGGCCTTTTGACGGACGATAGTTGATGCTCTAATAATTATTGTGATACTCAAAAATCCTGAATCGGCTGTTAATTTTTACGTGGTATGGAGTTACCCGTCCTTTGAGCCTGACTTTGATCTAGAAGGGTAACCTAGAGAGGTCAGGACTTCTTACTGAAGCTAGCTAGGTCCTGCACTGATGAATATTGTGATGCTTGAAGATTTTTAATCGGTCGGTAACTTCTGGGTGAGCTTCCCGTACGTTGACCATAGATTGACCTTGTAGTTCAGATGATATTGTGAACATAGACGTCACATTCGGTGTACTCGTGCCTTAATGACAGCGTAGCGCGTTTTCAGCGAAATCGGAACTTTTTGCTAAATACATTGTCAACTTTACGGGCATATGTTACCGTATTTTGATAGTGTATTACTTCTTCGCCGTCGTAAATGCATAGCTAGATGTAATCGTAACATGCATATGACAGTGATATCATACAATTCATGTGAAAAAACTACACATAAGTGGAAACAGCTTCTTCCATGTTTGATATCTTACCAGGCCCGTGTTGATGCCAATGATATATTTCAATAAAACAAAACAACTTTTTCTGAAAATTTGAACTTAAGTCGCCGGAACCTGTTGAGGTAAACGGGAAATAAGCTTGGCAAGTCACTTTTTGGTTTCCCCAGCGTTAAGCTAGTTCCCACGCCCCCAGCCATTCGTTCCGTGTTATTCAGTGCCTACAGCCCGGTGCAACTCTCGAAGCTTTCAACAATACCCGGCCAGATTTTCAGTGACCGGGGCGATCCGTCCCGAATGACAATTATAGCGTCAAGCTTCTTATCATGGTGCCTGCAACCCGCGTCCGAAGGCTTTTGCCACTGTCGGCACCTCTTCGGGTCGAAGAAATTAAAAAAAGAAAAGTGAGAGGAAAAATTAATAGTGGCGAATAAACGACGTCACGTGAACGACGTGTTCCGCATTTACCTTGCGAAAGTCGTCATCGATTATTATTAAAAGCCAAGTGGAGCATGCCGGGCGACGGGCGGGGAGAGCGCTCGCTGCGCCGAGCCTATCTGGGCCAGTGCTCTCCCGGATCGATGGCCTGCTCCCTACTAACCCAGTTACTCGCGGAAAGGTCAACTGGGGCTTCCCGGCCGGTGGCGGTGACCGCTACTGGAGACGAGGGTCAACGGCAGGCGGTGGCCTCCGTAGGTGGCACCGCTGCTGCCGGGGTTCAGGACCGGAACACAGCACGGCTGCCGGGCTTCAGGACTGGATATAGCACGACTGCCGGGAACCAGGACCGGACACAGTGCGGCTGCCGGGAATCAGGACCGGACACAGCACGGCTGCTAGTCATCAGGACCGGACACAGCGCGGCTGCTGATCATCAGGATCGGACACAGCACGGCCGCCGGGAATCAGGACCGAACGCAGCACGGCTGCTAGTTATCAGGACCGGACAC